AGTTTCACCCAGTTGAACATGTTACGCATAGAAAGGTCAGGTTCATCTGCAACCCTTGAGGTCAAGGTGTTGAGCAGAGCCAAACGGGATTGTATTCGCTCAGCAAGACGACGGTCCCTCAGGTCCCTCTCTGGTGTGGACACATACATTGATGTCGGTTAGGGATTTCGGGTAACTTCTTTTCATAAACTGCGAATATTCAAATGAAGTTTATTTTCGGCTCTAGTAGGTGAACTAATATCGGGATCAGTACCAGGATTCGGACGGATATCGCCAGCTCTCAATAACAGATTTCTAATATAATGGAACAATTGAAGTAGCAAAACAAAATATCAGATGGAGACAATTAAGTTTGAATTTAAGCATTTTGAAAGTTTTAAATATATCTTGTTTAAAAACAAAAATGATTGGTAAACATGATAATTTACAATGAAACCATCCTGACAACTCTCCATTCAAATACTTCGTTATCCGTCATGGTGGATGAAAAATAAATAAGTAGTTATGACCGCTACAACTTATCGGGCCTCTGTGACGAAGCACTCTCAAAAAGAAGTTTGGCTTTAGGATAACTCCGATATTCACGCTCAAACACATATACACCTTATCACACAAAACATATGCAGAATCATACATATAACATAAAACATATATGTAGAAAATTCAAATCCACATTTACGTTGGGTACGCTTCCACATAGTACAGCACAGCCACAAATGTTGTCGGTTTAAGACAATGCAATATTATCTATACTGCATATATTCCAGTTAAAAAATACACATGTACAATTCTGTATATAAATGTCTCCGATTAGAACATTTCGTGGCATGGAAAAAAGTTCACGCACAAGCATTCGACTACACAATAGACTCACCTGTGCACTGCGGCAAGAGGAAACGTGGATAGACGTCAACAGACCATTAAGCTATTAGTGATGACTTAAAAGAATTGCCATTAAGAGGTGATAATGTCTTGGTATAAAGGGGTTATCACACGAGGGTGAATAGACATAATGTCTTGGTATAAAGGGGTTATCATACGAGGGTAAATAGATATAATGTCTTGGTATAAAGGGGTTATCACACGAGGGTAAATAGATATAATGTCTTGGTATAAAAGGGTTATCATACGAGGGTAAATAGATATAATGTCTTGGTATAAAGGGGTTATCACACGAGGGTAAATAGATATAATGTCTTGGTATAAAAGGGTTATCATACGAGGGTAAATAGATATAATGTCTTGGTATAAAGGGTTTATCACACGAGGGTGAATAGACATAATATCTTGATATAAAGGGGTTATCATACGAGGGTAAATAGATATAATGTCTTGGTATAAAAGGGTTATCACACAAGGGTGAATAGACATAATATCTTGGTATAAAGGGGTTATCATACGAGGGTAAATAGATATAATGTCTTGGTATAAAGGGGTTATCACACGAGGGTGAATAGACATAATGTCTTGGTATAAAAGGGTTATCACACGAGGGTGAATAGACATAATATCTTGGTATAAAGGGGTTATCATACGAGGGTAAATAGATATAATGTCTTGGTATAAAGGGGTTATCACACGAGGGTGAATAGACATAATGTCTTGGTATAAAGGGTTTATCACACGAGGGTGAATATTGGTGCATACTGACACCTCATGAGGTATGTGGTGTCCTCCATTGCGTCCCATAACAGCATTTGCATGTTTGAAATAATCTGAAACAGTACAAATACATTAAGCAACACACCCAAATAACACGCTCCTTCAAATATTTGTTTAAAAAAAACGACTAGATAGGAAGAAAACAAACGTCCTAACAATACATGGGTTTACCAGTCCATATAAAAATGTGGGCCAGTCAACACAAATGAAGGACAATGAAGTGATGCAATTTGATGCAGTAAAAGGCAAGGATGAAATACGATTCAACATATAAAGTGTAAACACATACAAATACGGTTCTTAACGTTAACGGTTGTTGACGATATCATGTTACTAAGGTGTTGTGCATAAAACGTGAACTTCATAAAACACAGTAAAGAGAACGTGCAGCTGTATTGGCCTAGATCAGTCACGCATTAGTAATTACACGTAAAAAGGGTATGGAAGTGTTTTCTGTTCTATTTACAGTTTCCTTATTAAATTTTATCTGTTATTTATCTCTAGTACTGAAAGTGATGTTTTTCATTCTATTTTGCTTCACGTCGCTATCATAGTGTAGTAAACAGTTAATTTGCATTTTTCCTGAATTATTTTTCATGTTTGAGATATACAGGTATAGCAGATTGGTTATGAAAAATACATCATTACATGTATATATATTTATAAACTATATAACAATTACATTAACAGTAGAGAGATGAAATTTGTGTAAAAAAAAATTTCTTCTGATTTCTGACATTTGATTGTCATGGTTACCTACTGCAAAAATGCTAAAAATGCAAAAAATACTGCTAATTTCAACCTAACACTACAACTTTCTAGGAGAAATTTAATTCTAAACACTTATCTTACAATCAACAACACTGTCTTGGTAATAAAGTGCTTACATTTCAGCAAATTCCAACTCGGAAATTCTTCATAACATGACCACATGTAAACACTATAAAAATTTCACTTCCTGTATAGCTAGTTTTTGGTGCGTAGACACAGATTCGAGACTGCCCAAATAGTAACCTCCAACACAAAGCTAAAATATTATCCTGAAAAAAATGAAACCCCACATCGTCCACTTTAACATGACAGGACCAATTTTAGCAAGGATTTTTTTTTCATTTTTAATTAAAACCTTTATAATGGGGTAATCTAATGAGCAAAAAAATTACTGTGTGCTACCTATATGTATTAACATATAGCAGATATGGCCTCTTTTGCTATCATCTAAATCCTGTTCGTAATTCATTACGTACCGCTAGGACCCATGACAGCAAATATGTTTCCCCTACTCCAGAATCATGTTTCAGAATTTCTTTGGGGTGATTAACACATAAATTAGTGAAGACTATAGCAGTTCGTTTATACTCCATCTTTGTTAAAGCAGGCAGTTGCATGTAGACGGTAATACTAGTCACGCACAGTGGCTTATCTGTTTTGCAAAATGTTTAGATCAAATTACAGCATGTACTAGTCATAAACGGATTTTTTTTTATATTCATGACTGTAATGTTAGATGCGTGCATCCAGATACATGTAAATCGATTTAAACAAATTGTTGAAGTTCATTAATAAGAAGTTAGATGCATCATCATTGAAGCTATACAGGAGGATTTTAAACATCAAAGGAACATATAAATGCAAACGATTTGTACTTTGTATTATTGGTTGACAAATTAATTTGCTTATTAGCCTCTGTTCACATAATTTATTTTGGTTTGATGCATTCGTCAATATCCCGTGCGTCATCTGGCGATGTAGGTTTACATGTTTGCGATTAATAATTATCTATGCATATTTCTTAATCAAGAAAAATCACTAGATAATGTCAGTATTCACAGGTCACCCCATGGTTTTCCTCTTTCTTACTACAGCGAACATAAGCACGGAAACGAGATCTGTTTTCATATTTAAACAATATACGTGAACCAGCATTTTATATGGCTAGAGCACGAAAGAACATTGGAAATACAATAACAAATAACATAGTTCAGCCTTCAATGTTCTGTTAATTGACATAACTTGTTTTCATATTGAAAAGTCATAGCAATTTCTATAAAGGGAATAGTAGCGTCAATACATCTTGGTATATTCGGCTGTCATCCATACCCTACAATTACTTTCAAAAGTATCTGTAATCGGTAGCTATGGTATATCACGTGTTCACCCGCCGCCACTTACCCTAGATATGACAATTTACGCAATGCAGATACTGCCGGTATAGTGATTAACGCAATAAGTTGTGGTGGAGTACTTTCTTTCAGTTCCTGATCAATAACTCGACACTTACAAACTTTCCACATAGCAAAACCATATTTATGACTGGGAAATTGCAAAACAATCATTTTTCCTGGAAGCTCTAAGGATATGCCGCAGCGGACCAGCTCTAAACAAGGACGATAGGGGCCACACAATATCGCACATATATGACTAAGTGTTAAACAAAGCGTAGCCGAATTGACTTCAGTACATTGTTACCATCTGGTGTATGGTTTTGGTCTATAATCTGTTTACCATCGTGTCATACTATTCTTGACATTAGTGTACAGAGGTCAATAGTACAAACGGAAACGTATGTCGATTTCTTGCCATCTTGTACACTACGTACGTCAGTGCTAGTACACTTCACATTGGTTATCTGTTTGATGAAGGTAACCATGTATTCATCGAAACGTTACACTAAAATCTTCTACTGGTTGTTATAAGAACTTCTATTATATTCTGTAATCGCTATTTGCTTGTTGTATACGATACAATTAAGGGAATGTTATACGGTAGGAAACACAATGTTTTAAGTAAATTTATTGTTTTGTGATCCCAAATTTCGTTGCATTGTTACAGCATTGAACAGAATAGTGAGATTTAGAACTCAACTGTTTTCTTTGTAACATGCGATATTCTTCTCTCCTACCTCCCCCGATGCAATTAGGTAATTCCCGACAACACCAAACTCCAGATTTATTCTATCATATGTCATTGACCAGACTTATATTGAGGAACGAATCCTCGAGTATATTTTCCCTTAAGTTTCTGGAATTTAGCCTACTCGACCACACAATATCTAAGTTACAAGCTTACATGAGATGGTGTCTTACACGTTTATAAGTTGTTTTTTGACATCGCCATATATGTATGGAATTTGATAAGCTGACTAATCTTGGCTTGGGAGTCGATTTTCGACAAGAACAGCTGGTGTACCCTATCGTCATGCTTACTACTTTGAATATAAATCAAATACAACTGACAGGACAGGGATCTTATCCACCTGAAAACCGGTGTGCATTTATATGGTATCTCGATACACGTTAACACCACTTACAAACTGGTTTAAACTTCAGCCGATCGTGATGACAGCAGTACGACAGTTAAACTTTTCTGATTTGTGTTTTAAATCACAACATAAAGAAATATTAAAACATGTCTCGGGATCAGCTAGCAGTGGAGATATGTTGACTGTGATGGGGCCAAGCGGTGAGTACTGTCTAGAAAAAGGAAACCTTTATTTTTTTCTGAAGTTGTCTAATGATGACTTCTAATGTCATGTATGACATGGAAAGGAGTAAATCACCACTACTTCCAAATGTATCATTTTCTGATGATTATTGAAGTATAAATTAGTTATATATTAGGAACATACTATAAACGATAAACTGGAGTTACCTTATTATTTCATGGACTGATGCTCTTCTTGCTCTGATTAACACAAATGTCATTTATTTGACCTGTCTTGCGTTTCATTCTAAGTTGTTGACATCATGACCCATTTTAAGGGTTAAAAGTTAGAATTACAACTATGCAAACCTTATACATCAGGGATCACTATATTTTTAGATTTTCATTTGAGGAAATTACGTTAAGAATTTCCCTTAGAAATTTCAGCACATCGTATACAAGAAAAGAACACATTTACTAAATTACGCAAGGGGAGATAATTATATAGTCCTTAGCAATAGAAATAGAATTTCCATATGATTGAAAAGTTTTCAAAGCGGAACAACAAAATACATGTGTCAATAATAATGTTAATTACAATTTCACCTGCACTGAACTAACTACTAACTATAGTCCAGCGGATGGGACTATAAACGGTGGCCCGTGTGAGGATTGTCCACCCTCGCATACTAAAGATCCCCTGAGACTGTTTGTAAAAGAGTAAAAGAGTAGGCGTGATAATGCCAGTCCAGGGATCTAAGGATAGCATCAGACGATATTCATTTTTGTTCTTCTAAGACTATTATTATCAAATGATCACTGCTACAGACGGTTCCATCCCAATGAGGGGGATGCAGGTCGCCCCTTCACGTCGCCAGAACACTGACGTTCATCAGTGAGGTGATACCCGAACACGGGAGGAGTCAAGGGGACGAAAAACCTGTTAATCGACCAACCAATATAGAATTTACATTAATGCAGAACCGACATCTCGAATGGGTTTTAATTCACCATTATTTAGATAATAGAATCATACTTAAAAATCATTTTTAATCAAGAAACATGTACATGTTTACTGATACATAATGTTCTTTGAGTTACTAGGTCAGCAATGAATAATTATATGGTTTTCAATAACATCAATAACCTGAATAAGGATTGTATTTTGAATGAATTTCCGTAGCTCAAACAAATGTCCGCTTTGATCGTCAATAAAATTGCTATTTGCTTAAATATATCAAGCATTGTTTTTCAAATGTCCACACTACCTCAGATTTTCTGTGAAACAATGTTTCTCAAATAATGGAAACTACGGAAATATGTATTTTGAATCTTGCAGCCATGAAAAATATATTCAGTCTTCTTTTAAAGTGATTCTAAATTCAGGCATTCTTTGTTACTATCATGCTATAAAGGTTTCAGTCATGTTTTCAATGCAAACTTTATTTAAATCTGCAAAGTTTAAAAAAAAAATCGATTACATCTGTTTCCGTTTTAGGATGATACTACCTATGTACAAGATACTATATCTTATGTTAGCTTGCAAACACGGATGAGGTTTCTCGATTTACCTGAAATTACCTGAAAGAACCTCAATAAGATAGAATAGCTACGTAAGATTTAACAGTCGAGATAGATGACAATCTTACCTTGGTGCTGTTGGAAAATAATGTATGCCGTGGCCAGAAAGAATAGCTAATGTAAAATGTTTGTGAGATTATTCAATAATTATTGATTAATGCTTCAGGTTCTGGAAAGACAACTCTTCTACATTCCATAGCAGGGAAAGTCAGCGTCACATCAGGGGACATAACACTGAATGGTTCACCATTTAACAAGCAACAGCGCCGTCATTTAGGTTACGTGATGCAGGAAGACGTATTTCTGCCAAACCTGACGCTGTGGGAAACACTCTACGTACGTACATATATTACAGAAATGGTAGAATATTGAAACATAAATTACGATATTCTATGATATGTCCTCATTTTGGAACGTGACATTAGTTACTTTGATTGATCAAGATTTACATGGTGGATGACGACCATAAGACAAAAGACGTTTTTCCTTCAGGAACACTTAACTTTACTTACATTGAACACTTTTGAAAAATTTCCATTCAAATCTTCTTTTGTTCAGTTTTTCACTAAAGTTTCTTCGAAGTTGAGATATTTCAATATTTTGTGTTGTAAGGTATACCAGTGTATATCGTGCTAAAAAGACAAAGTCGGGAATAAGTCGAATACATCCATTTTATTATTGCTGAAGTATTTGACGAGAACTAGTTTTTATCAGCATATATGGCATTAAAGGCTACAGAAAAAAAGAGAGACTTTCTTATTAAAACATCATTTAATACATAGATTACATTTCACAAGGGAAGTAGCTTCTCGCAGAATTCAGGTTATGGTTTTGAAGACAGTTACTATAGAATGGAAGGTCATAAATTCAAACAGGGACCAAGTCGACAAGAATGAGCTATTTCATTGAACAGTTTACATCTCTGAACTAACAATGGGTTATCAACACCATCTTGTTTATTTTCACGATGGATCAATCAACTGTTTCACTGTGATATGACTTCCTTGTTATCGCAGTAAAAACTTTAATTACGTTTCCCTTTATATTGAGAATACCATTATAGAAGTAACAATAATTTGGAATATTTCAGTTCTCAGCGATGATGCGAGTATCAGACACATTTTCAAAACAGGAGAAATTGGATCGTATTGAGAAGATCGTTACAACTCTGGACCTACAACATTGTATAAATACAGGTTTGTTACTAATTAATGTTAAATATCAGATAATGATAAATGTATGTACCTCGTCATATTGTGTTTTAATGCTAATGCAAGTCTACGGTTTTAATTTGTAAACATTGCAGATATTTTCATAGAATGGCGATGGAAAAGCTAATGACTAGAGGACTCTAATGTTACAATTCTAATGTTACAATTCAGGGGTCGGGGCAGTAGAATATGAAATATAAGCCGAATTTTAAGTTCACATTGACATCTCTGCTTCCAGTGATTGGTGATGCTTTCCAGAGAGGTCTGTCTGGAGGAGAGAGAAAGAGGACACATATCGCATGTGAATTGTTGACAGATCCAGACATTCTCCTTATAGATGTGAGTTACTGTATTTTTTTTTTCAGTGTATGTCTAGTTCTATCAAAACAATTCCATTTTACTTAGCAAACACAGTCTGAATAGCAATCCAACGAAGTTAAAGGTACAGAAGTTGCTTTTTCCTGTCAAGGTTGCCACTTTTTTTTTTTTTTTTTGTAATACATAAAAAAAAAATATTTCATTTTAGTCCACATATTGACATGATAATATCTAATTGATGACATATACTTTTCAATGTATTTAAATAGTTACGATTCATTACAATTCATTTTCTCTATCTAGAGAATAAGACATACTAATAAACAGAAATGGTTGTCAAAAGTACGCCATTTTTGTGTTATTTCCTGCATTTTATTAAAACAAAACTGTCTTTAAGCAATTATCTCGATTTCTTTATATCGTTTCATGAATGGAAAGATTCCTCTTATTGATGGCACAATTGAATTACATCTACATATATATATCGTCTTATTATTAAAAGGCAACAATTTATTACTAAATTATTTTGATTATTATTTGAACAACCAAAAATGGCGTCCATTGGATAAATCGTGTTTACATGAATACAACCCCAAAATTTATGATAAATATCTTCGTCTTCAAATCACAAAAGCTGCATCTATTACTATCTTTGATACTGCTTTTATTAAGGAATGTATTTGTACATAATATTCTATGATTGATTTTGAATTGAAAATTCTGCAAAATTACATCATTTGTACATGTTCTTGTTATCAAATAAATTCTATTCCAGTCAATTTCAAAGTTTTGAATATCCTGTGACCACTTTTCCGTTGCTTTTACATTTTCAGAAATTATTGTGGAACAAAATTTTGAATAAAAGATTTTTGTTTGGTTTCTCGTTCTTGTAATAAACCTGATATTTTCTGTTTCTCTAACAGCATTACTGCCATAATTACGAATTAGTCTTTTCCATGTATCTGTGATGGCTGAAATCAAACCATTGAATTGAATTCTTTGTACATGTGGAATATCAAAATGTTCCCTAAACTGCTGAAAAGTTAGTACTTTACCCTCATTATCGAAAAAATCTGAAATATCATTGATACCCTTATCTTGCCATAGCTGGTAATATACTTATTCATTTCCTTTTTTAATGTTACTATTGAACCAAACTGGTTGCGAAAGGTAAGATTCTGTTTTACTCTCTGTTGAGATTACTCCGTACCAAAAATACATCTCTCCAGAACGAGTTGAGATTTCTTACTATTTTTATCATGTCATATCTGTTATATGCAAGAATATTATAGTTGCCATATCTTTCTAGATCATCTAGCAATAGTAATTTCTAGAGAGATGTATTTCGGGGATCGAGTAATTTCTTTACCCATGTTAGTGTCAAAGAATTTATAAAACATTCAATATCTGTCATTTTCAATCCATCATTTTCATAATTATTCTTGAAAGTAGAACGCTTAATTTTATCTCTTTTATCGTTCCAAATAAAACTGAAACATATACTTTCTATTTTATAACCTATATGATGTGGTGGATTTGGTAACACGGTAAACACTTGTACTAGAAAAGGTAATGCAAGTGATTTAATCACTGTAATTTTACCAGATATGGTGAGATTTCTTAGGGACCAATTTTTTAAAATACCTTCAATTTCTTTTATTTTTCTTCATAATTAACAAAGGTTGTCTGTTTTACTAAGATCATATTTAATACCAAGAAGTTTTAATTTACCTGTGAGGTTCCACTTTAGTCCTCGATCTGTTAAAAGGTTTTCCTGCCTATCCAAATTGCCTCCGTTTTCTCATAATTAGCTTTTAACCCAGCACAGTTTCCAAAGGAGTCTAAGATATATATTGCCTCTTTCAATGATCTTTCTTCATCATCAAGATATAATGTAGAATCGTCCGCATACTGACTCGCCAAAATCTCCGTTCCGTCTTTTTAATACCATTTATATCAGGGGAATACTTCAAAGCGGCACTTAAAGTTTCTATTACAAGAATAAACAAAGAAGGCGAGAGAGGATCTCTCTGACGAACACTTCATATCAAAGAAATTTGAACAAAAGCCATTATTTATTAGACAACTAGTGACGTTTGTTTGGTTTGGTAAACATGTTGTTACGCCTTGTTTTTGCGTGATAGATAATTGTTTGGTTTTAAAACTGTACTGTATTGAATTAATAAGAAAACCTTTTAAATCTTTCCAAAAGCACTTATAAAATTCCAATGTAAAGCCGCCGTCTAAACCTGGTGATGTACAGTTTTTCATTTAAAAAAGAGCATTCGCGCATTCTGCTTCAGTGATATCACTATCACTAAATTGTTTTTCTTCTTCACTAAGTTTATCAATTAACGGATTATCATTACAAAAAAAATCTCAGTTTGGTCTTCGGTTATGTAAGGGTATCTGGAAATATATAAATTTTCGTAAAATAGTCTTTGTTCTTCCAAAATATTTTCAATATTTACAAGTTCAGAACCATCATTAAGAATTAATTAAGGAATAAGTTTTTCAGTGTAGTTTCTTTGTTCATTTTCTTTTTCCTCTAAAATGACAGCTGTTTCTTGATTTTCAAACGCCAAAGGGTCACTCTGTTACTGTAATATTTTTGATTCTAATTTGCCCATTCTTTCTTTTTTCTCCTTCTTTTTCCAACTAGCATATGAAATAGTTTTGCCCCTTATAGCTAATTTTATCATTTCCCACAAAAGTTGATCATTCACTGAAAGGTGAGTGTTGTCGAAATTATTGTCAACTATTTCATCCACTGCATAATTTGTAAGAACTTGGTTAATAACAGTTTTAACAATATCGGTATAAGTTTTATCAAATCATAATAAATAACCCCGTTCATGATTATGTAGCTTTAACTTAATAATTGGTGCATGATCAGATTAGTATTTCAATCCTTTGTAGGAGAAGTTTACCAGGGGCTGAAGGTCAGAGGAAACTAATCAAGCCGACTAGCTTTTCCACTATGCCCAAACCAGCTAAACCTTTAGTATCTGGAAGCTGAACTCCCCAAATATCTACTAAGTCGAGTTCGTCCATAGTATCAATTATAGCAAGCCTAACATTTTTATTGTTTTCCCTAATATATTTGCGAGTATCTTCGAATGAAAAGAAAGCGTTGAAATCTGCAGTTATAATTACTGAGTCATTATCAAAAAGACAAACATTCCTTTTTAAACGGTGAAAAAAATCCGACAAATCAGTCTTTGGACCATACACACATGATAGAGTCATTCTTTGGTTTTGAATACTTATGTCAAGAATTATGAAGTTTCCAAAATCATCGGACAAAACCCTATGTATGTTTTTTTTTTCAAAACTATTTTTGAACAATTTAGCAACACCAGGACTATTTCCTGTATGAGAACAAAAATAGCAATCCAGACCCCATTCATGTTTCCAGTACCGTTCTGAAGATGCTTTAGAATGAGTATCTATAAATACTGAAATGTCATAATTTCTTTCCCTGCTTAAATGAAATATATCCCTTCTCTTTATGTTATCTTATAGCCCTCGGCAGTTCATACTAGCTATAGTAAGTTCACCCATAATCAACTTCTGTAATCTTCTCCGGGAATAAGTAATACATTGCTACAGTATAGATGGACCAGTTTTGTATGCAGTTAGGTAATGTCATGTTTATGTGGACCAAAGAAAGTATAACCCCCTCTTTCCCCACCCTTATCCCTTGAAATTCCCTCCCCGATATCCCAGTCATCCACAGTATGTAGAATACAAAAATAAACATATAAAGATGCAGCTCTAGATAGAGGTTGTAACAAGAACGATTCTCCAGCTTATATCAAAATAATAATACACACTTCATGTATTAATATTTTTTCCATCAAATGAAGTTTCATAGTTAACCGCGTAAAAAATAATATATTTCTGGTTGTGTATACCTTTTGACCAGAAGACAACATTTTACTACGTGAAGACAGAAAAAATTATTTGCATACAAAATATATCAAACTTTGAATTATATTAAATGTACCTTGTCAGTCTTTTTAAATGTTAATTTAACGCTATTCAATGCAAAAGTTCAAAAACATTATTTAGCGCTATTTTTTTTTATTTATTGGACATCAAAGTTCAACGTCAAAAACGCTAACTTGCTAACACTAAACTTAAACCAGGGTATAACATTATTTAAAGTTTAAGCTTTCACATGTTAACATTAGCGCCAAATTAACGCTTAAATCTTCAACGCCAAATCAACGTTATAAACGTTAAACACTTTCAAATACATGTAGTTAACTAATGTGCTATACACAATTTGCTAAGTCTTTCTGCGCTCTTACACGCACGGGCGCACACGGGCTCTTGTATCTGCGTTCACATGTCACCTGTGGAGATGTGGACAGGTAAATAACATTCCTACCGATCACTCTATGGCAGAGTATTTGTGTTAAATTATACATGTACAATGTACCAATGTTAACCAACAGCATACAATTTATATAGAGACATTGATCGAATGATTAACCTTGCTAATCAGAAAGGCTTCAATAGAAAAGAACAGAAGGTAAACCTAAAAGTATGATATTGGCCAAAATATAACACAATGCGACAGACTTTAAATTGCGGAAATACTTATGAATATATCTTCAATTTAACTTTTAGAAGAATTGCAATTTCAAATTCTTCATGATAGATTATACCGAATATATAGAATGTTCACCATGCCACATGTTTACTTTGTGTTAGTCCCAATGATTATCTCACTAACTTGAGGAAGGGCGACTCTTTCAGATAGATTAACTTGTATTTGGAGCGTTCCGCTTGTGCCATCTGTCTACGTTCTACCAGAAGCTCGTAGCGTAACTTGGCCAATGAGGGTGGTAGGTCTGGAACCACTGCATATCCTGATTTCGGTCCAAGGGTGGAACGAACTTGATTAAGGACAATGTCGATAAGTGAAAGGAACCGAACAATGATGTTCCGTTTTCCATCAGGGCCATTAGGCCGTCTATGCACGGCTTGGAACAACATCTGTTTGACAACATCCTCACTTAACATCAGGATGTCCATAAAGAATTGGCGGAGGACCAATAGAGAATCAACTGGCTTTTCATTTTTCTCACCCTTGACACCTCTAACTACCAAATTACACGTTCGTCCCCAAACCTCAAGGGCTAGTTGCTCGTCTGATTCTTTCTTTATCTTTTCATTTAGATGTGGGACAGTTACTTCCTAAAGGGTTTTGTTAGCATCATATACATTTTCAACAGAAAAGTTCAGAGACTCTATTTTGTCTTCCGCTCTCTCAACCCTTTCCTTATTGCTAGAAATATCGTCATCAAGTTTTTGAAAAGGGATGCGAGATCTTCGCGTCTGATTGTTGGAAGCAACGGCTTATACTTTCAAAATCTGTACAGGAATAGTCCGACATTTTGGAATTATCACTTACACCATCCCAGGGTGTGCACAATGCACTTTTACGAACAGATTTTTGGTAAATTCCACTTCACAGGTTAGTCTAATAAGTTAAGACTTAAACAGAGGTTTTCAATGGGGCCAATGTGAACATATATTGCTGGAGTCGCTATCGTGTCCTCACCATGCACACGTCATACTGGAGTTATTGTAAGTTCCGAGTAGTCAAATACATAAAGAATGTACACAGGTGTTCCTTAGACATTCAGATACAAAGGGCAGTGTCAATAATAGGATGTCGATTTGATTTAAACCACTTTGTCTTTACAGCGTATTTCTACCTTGCACTCTGTAATGTGTAAATTATATCAACCATCGGAAATGAAATATGTTTGCTTCTTCGTATAAGACAGTGAAGTACATATATGAAACAGATATCAAGGTAAATATAGGAAAGCAGTCCTCATAATGTCTCACATGGTTTGACTCGGGTGTTGAGATAACGAGTATTGAAATAAACAAAATAGTGTGAAATTGTCGTTATTATAGGAACCAACGTCCGGTTTAGATTCGAGTTCTGCACACAGGCTGATGGGACAACTAAAGAAGTACGCCTCGGAATACAATAAGATATTAATGGTCACAATTCACCAACCTTCCAGTAAAATCTATCATATGTTCTCCACCTTATTGCTGCTGGCGGAGGGACAGGTAAAACATTAACACATCGCCTTAAATTTTAATTCGTTTGTGATATAAACACCCCTTGATTAAGTTTCATTGATGTATATTGATTTTTAAGTAAGTAATTATAACAGCAGATAACTTTTAAAATTGACTTAAGGAAATGGTCAGCATCACTATTGATAAGACAGTTATAGATAAATACACTAAAAGATAAGCAGCATGATGTCATAACATGTATATATGAACAACCCAAACCATTTTAATCAATTCCAATTCCAGGCGATGTTTATTTTCTGTAAATGAGAACCGGATTATTTATTTGGATAACAGATATACACAATTTCGTATATAAATGTGTTGTCACATTAGGTGAAAACAAAATTGACCTGCCTGAAAAAGTTTGTGTTTAGTAGTGTTACAATACAATTTGACAGTAATAAAATGGTACAATGATATGATGATTGACTGGATAGCTAGTCCAGTAAGAGACGTTTGTAAATATTTCTGTCGAGTATAGACTAGTAATACCACCGTAGTCCTTCTATATCCTAATCATTAGCGTGTTTCATTCACAGAATTTTTTACTATCCAGAACAGATAATATCATACAACACGATATATTTGACGAAACCATTAACAACGTTTTGTATTGATAGCGAGTTTACTATGGTGTCGCTGCAGAAGCTACGGTTTACTTCAGTAGTCTCGGATTTACATACAATCCTCGGTACAACCCCGCCGACTACTTGCGTAAGTTATAAGTGTATAGAGGACATACCGAGTAATAAAATTACGTTATGAAGCTTTGTTGTTATTCCAAGACTATTCACTGATGCTAGGAACAATATGTGCGGGAATCCCAATTAAAGTTAGGAAAATTAAAATATAGAAAAAGATTATTTAATGCAAAATATAGTACTACTATTGCTGTGACTGATCGTCTATCTATAATCACATTTCCAAACAAAGTGTATTTGTTATTATTACAGGAAACATCATAAAATAATGCAAAATATAGTACTACTATTGCTGTGATTGATCGTCTATCTATAATCACATTTAAAAACAGTTTTCCTTGAAAATATTCGACTGAAAAACCTTTAATGGAATAAAACTAGCAAGACTTAATAATTTTGAGCTGGTATATGATTTGATATTGTACCTATCTTAAATATATGTAAAATGTCTTTTCAGTAGGAGTATTAACATCAGATGAGAAAACCATCAACATGATAAAAAATTGTTCCAAAGAATTCAGGTAAAGACTTTTGTTCCATCTGAATGGGATCTACCTAGATTTCCAGAAATGAATGCTGCTTATTATATCGAACTGCCTACATCTATTGTCTTAACCACTATGATCTACGTAGATTACCAGAAATGAAAGCTACTCATCATTATTGAACTATTGTCAAGCAATTATTCAACATGTCATTAAGGAACGTTTCACAAAATAAACCAATATGTTATTGTGAACAGCTGTTTCCATTTTTTCATTAATAGCAATGGAAATTCTTTGTCTATTGCGGATAGTAATTTGCACAAATTGTGTGAGAATCATGGTACACACTACGAACATGGTAATAACACGGAAGGAACACGTCCGATATCTGGTAAGCTATTCTATCTAGAAAACAAAATTATCAAAATGGTTCTCTCAAAATTTCAAATAGTCCTTCATGCTATGCTTAGTTCGTTTGAATAGTGGCACGATTCAGAATATCACGGAATTGGCATTATTTTGAAATCATCAAGTTTTAAAATGACATTACGTTATTTATTGTTTTATTGGATTCTGGCAATGTCTGTTTATATCTTTTCTCGGTATCATCTGGAAATTTAATTCCTTTGGTATCACTCACAAGTTTTATAAGAATGAATGCCATTATATAAACGTGATAACTTGTGTCTAATTTCTAATAAACATCTTGTTCTGATTTGATGATAATTTACTATTAACAAAATAGCATTTTTATTCCAGTAAATATTAATGTGCATGATGTCATTTCACATATGAGCCTTGTGGTAAACATTCATTGTATATAGCGTTCGTTCTGGAGGAAAAAGAGACAAACCGCTGGCCAACGTCGTCGTGGAACCAGCTAAAGCTACTGAACTGGAGGTCGTATAAGCAGGCAAAGGGTAGAATATTCCAGAGATATGACATCATACACGCTGCCGTATTGGCCGTCATATTTGGCATGCTGTATTTTCAAATTGAAAACAGCGAAAAGACATTGAGAGATAAGATGGGAATGGTTTGTATAAGTCATTTTATTATCACAGTCGTACTGAACGTTATACATCAACTTCAGCATGCATCGTTAACGAAAACCTTGGAAAAATGTGTTGCATCAAATACAATGTTTTTCTCTGTGCATTTATTGACCAGACACCACTGGTTGGCTTAATGTTATCAAATGATTCATTAATATGTCAGATAGTCAGAATCCTTTGCTCATTTGTCATTCCTTTCTCTATGTTAACATTACAATGATATTGCACCGGCATCATATCATGTTTTCATCTTCTACAATAGTTTCACTGAGACCTACACGGTGTTTTTCTTGAGTAACATCAGTGACATTTAACAGAAATAAACTATATCGTCACAGAGTCACTGACAAATTTTGCTTTCCATTTAAGATATTACATTAGCATTATAAAGGATCCGTGGCTACATCTAACGTCAACATTATAACATACAAGGTACATCACGTATATTATTGCTATAAATCTAAGCTGCTGTGTGAGCAGAGATCACTCCTCTATTGTAAGTATATACATTTGTTGTTATAGGTCACCTGTTCCTTTCTGCACTGGGGACTGCAAATTTCCTTTTCAACAATATTAGGCCGTACGTAACAGCGTATACATGTGTATTGTTTGGTGTATGGTTCTTTGATCATAAAATTTTGGAATAAAATTGTTTGTTTACCCATATGTTGGCGCCAGAGTTTCCGTCAGAGATGACCAGAATACTAAAATTGTACAAAGGACAAGAATGTAGTAAGGTTAACTCTGTTGGTTTACTCTGTTTTGTTTCTATTTGCCAATTTTGTCAGTGTCGAATCAAACTATTTCATGGATATTGATATAACAAGCAGTTATATGTTTTATTTAAACAATCTTACTTTACAAATTTGGCCATATGTATATATTAATTATCCGTCTTGCAAGTTGTAGAATAAGCATATATTTTAAATCCTCTATCACCCACAACGATTGCATTACATTTTATAAATAAATATGAAACAGGACTTATTAACCAATGCAGATACATCTGTTAAACAGCAATATCAACGCCACAAATTATGGTTGACATCATGATCTCAATGAGATATAATCCATTTTCATTTTCGGCCCATTTCCGTTGCTGTTTATCTTGTTGTCATAAGGCTGTCTTCGATGAAACAGAAGACGTTTACCTTTCCAGAATACCTGGTCTAATTTTCATTGTTTAATGTCGCCATGTACATTTTTCAATTGTTCATGTTTAGCAACTATTTCCTATTTAATTTCAATTTAATTTGAATTAAGATGATGTTGGTATGCAGATTCAACTGATAGGGGTGTGGTGTGGAAAGAGCGAACAGTTGGAGCCTACAGATTGTCAATCTTTTATGTGTCCAGACTGACTACCGAACTACCACTACTTCTTGTCATCCCGACTATCTTTAACACAGTCTTGTATTGGGCAGCTGGCCTCGGGGGCCTGGATGGCTATTTTGTCTTCTGTGGTATCGGGATTCTTAACGGTCTTCTTGTACAAGTAAATTCAATATTCATCATTTTTAAAATTACTTAAATAAGGATATATGCGCTTTGATATTTCCTGTTTACTATATCACAACTGAAAATAATTCCAAGTTAACATTAGAAATATAGATGCAGAACGTTATGGAGTATAAAACATTTACCATGGAAACCATGATATACAGATCATATGCAAAAACATAAAATATGTGTGTAAAGAAACTTACTGGCAGGCAATGTATGACAAAATTGAATTGAAGGAGAAAACAAAGCAAGAGTTGTGATAACAATAACGGAAAGATTGCCAAATACTCAAGCGTTTTAATATCACTCACGACATCTTGTCTATAGAATAGAAGCTTTAATGTTCAGAGATTTCTTCATTTATTCCATTATTTCAGAGTTTAGCAAGTGTCGTAGGAATATGTTTCGTCAACCTTAAGCTTTGTTTCCGATTCATGGATGTGATTCTACTAGGAGGGTTATTGATAGGCAAGTATTACTAAACAAAAATATATGTCAGCCTATTATAGTTATGAATTGGACAATAACTATTTATAGAAATATTCACTGCATTAGAGTCACAAAAACTGTCATTGCCAATTTTTAGAAAGCCACTACAATACAACCCAATAAAGACGAACGTTACATAAGGAACAAGAGGCTAAAGGTCCTGTGTTGCACATGTGATATTTCAAATCACAGATACGATGGGTTTGTATCAAATCCATTAAAAACTTTGGAACTTATATGTCTTTCGCTAGATTGTTTGTCTACAACTGTTGGATTATGTTATGACTTCAATCGATAAAATTTGTAAACAGGTGAAGCCATCGGAAGGTTTTTACAAATTTGACATTGAATACGGATCAATGTCATTACCTTTATAAATACCATAGGCAGGGTACCTACAAAAATATCATAAACCTGGATCTTTTGGTTACCCAGACGTTTAATTCAGAATTCTTTCAAATTTAAATTAAATGACCTGGAATATGGGTCAAGGTAAATTCTTTCAGTAACATTGTCAGGCTTTATTGTGGGAACTTACAAGTCAAATTTTCATTATCCTAGACGTTGTGGTTAACCAGAAGGCGTTGCCGCGTTTTAGTTAAGATAACCTCAGAGGAGACTTCGTATGCTTCGTACATTACATATGTATCCTAAAAACAATCAGTTTTGAATGTGTTACCATATATTTTGATTATCTCTTTTAGAAATTTTACTACTTAAACTTATATACCACCAGAAAATACAAATTGGGACCAATACTTTCATTATTTGTTTTTAAATGATGCAAGTGTTCTTTGCACTGCTGTTCCAACTTATTGTAAGTATGGCGGTTAGAAATGATATTAATTTACATCCCAGCCCGTTGTCAGTTCTCTCATTTGATGCATATATAAACTGATCTTCTAATAATTCTGAAAGTTTGATGATAAATTGATAACGTCTACCCCATGAATAATGGACATATCCATATCTTACGTCTTCTATCTATTACATTGTAGGTGGGTTTTTCAACACTCATCCCCCGTCGTGGCTGTCATGGAGTAAATATCTTTCAATCTCCCATTACCCTTACGCAGCATCAGTGTCATACCTGTTAAAAGATATGGATCCACTTCCGTAAGTTAGCACTTTTGACCGTAGTGTAAGTTGATGGAGTGGCTTATGTTTGTAGTAATAGTTGACAAACTGACCAATGTTTATAGCAATAGTTGACAAACTGGCCAATGATTGTAGCAATAGTTGACAAACTGGCCAATGTTTGTAGTAATAGTTGACAAACTGGCCAATGTTTGTAGTAATAGTTGACAAACTGGCCAATGATTGTAGCAATAGTTGACAAACTGGCCAATGTTTGTAGTAATAGTTGACAAACTGGCCAATGTTTGAAGCAATAGTTGACAAACTGGCCAATGTTTGTAGTAATAGTTAACAAACTGGCCAATGTTTGAAGCAATAGTTTGCGAACTGGCCAATGTTTGTTGCAATAGTTGACAGACTGGTAAATATTTGAAGTAATAGTTGACAAACTGGTCAATGTTTGTAGTAATAGTTGACGAACTGGCCAATGACTGTAGCAATAGTTGACGAACTGGCCAATGTTTGTAGTAATAGTTGACGGACTGGTCAATGTTTGTAGTAATAGTTGAAGAACTGGCCAATGACTGTAGCAATAGTTGACGAACTGGCCAATGTTTGTAGTAATAGTCGACAAACTGGCTAATGATTGTAGCAATAGTTGACGAACTGGCCAATGTTTGTAGTAATAGTCGACAAACTGGCTAATGTGTGTTGTAATAGTTGACGAACTGGCCAATGTTTGTAGTAATAGTCGACAAATTGGCCAATGATTGTAGTAATAGTTGACGAACTGGCCAATGTGTGTTGTAATAGTTGACGAACTGGCCAATGTTTGTTTGTAGTTATACCTCTGAATATGCTTCTTTGGTAATCACAATGTATTCCCCTTTTCACGTAATGTGGAGCTTTACACTTCGATATCAGCATTATCATCATCAACAGCACCCTCATCATTATCAAAATGTCGACATATTTCAGCCTGAATATTTTATATGTCGATGAAATAATGTATGATATCAAATTCCAGGTGCAACCAGACGAGTTTGACGCAGTACCCACGATGTCGTAATAATGCCGCAGATTTGGTGACCTCTCATGATGTATTAGCCAATGTAGGGATAGACTTGCCAATCTACTGCTACATAGCAACTATTGTTTCGGCAACATTCTTACTACACTTAATGGGATACTGTGTATTGCGATGGAAACGATATACCACGTGAACTGATCTTTCTTTAAACCTACGATTGTTCACTATGTAAGAAATAAATCTCAAGGATAATCAGAAAATTTGTTAAGCTAACAGCGTTGTCCTTTCTTTACCTAACAGAAACTGTGTGTAGATTGTACATGTACCTTTTACAGGGAATGATTGGCATTTAAGTGTGTACTCATTGATTACCGCAACTTAAACATGCAAACAGCACTCACATAAATAAACAAAATTATCATCCAGTGCTACTGGTCTTTACAATTTTATTCCATTTCAGTCAAGTCAGTGTTCAGATTGGCTTGATTTTGATTAACGTCTTGTAAATTGCTATTTTCATTTAATTACCGAACACGCCACTGTAATAACCAACAAATAACAAATTCAGTTCATTAATGTACGAATGTTCGATATAGGTCCTTAACTACATATATAACATCAAAATTGAAGCATCCCTTTATACGTAGCACTTATCGACATCTACCTCATCTTAAAGGTTATGGAATTATAAAATGAATCTTTACAAAATACGTAGAAACCACAGCACTATATCTAAATACAGACGTTCTATATTACCAGATATCAAGCCATATTTATGTTAGTTTCTAATTACCAGAGCCAGTTGTGAGAATTTACTTTGAACAATAGAAAAAGACTCCTTGTGTAGCTCTTGTTAGTATTTTATATCTGTACATAACATATATCGAGTTGTAATCGATTGGTTGGTTCAATTGAAATGACGCATCTGAATTGTGCAATCAAATATTCTTCCTGGAATGATTAATCTATTTTGGTAAATTTCAGCACATTTCCTTAATTGATTATGTAATAATATCAGTATTACAAATCAAGAAGTTGATCTTATATGATAGGTAAGTGAAATGAAGAATTATTTTCTCAAGCAAATAATGATATAAGTTTTATTGATATTAGTAACGATAGCCAGCAATGTTGATTGTGTCTAGATAGGTGATTATTTTCTATAATGATATCGGTTAAAACAATGTCTGATATACGTGATATTACTGTTACTACTAACAGTTTACTGGTTTCATACGAAAGCTAATTCAGGCAACTTTTAGTGCGACAAAAGAACTGTTTGTGATGGTGTATCCATATCGTCCTTTTATATATATATATATATATATATATATATATATATATATATTTTAACGAGTGAATTATCCTGAAGACTGCGGGAATCTTTTAACATTCCCTATACTAGTTCCTGCAGTCTTGATGATGCTTTTATCGAGGTCAGAATTTCTTTAATCTCAATAGGAAGTAGCCACATGTACGAATAAAACAAACCGATACAGTCATTGTAATCACATAGATAAACACCGGAAGTTCAATTCCCAATCCATCCAGTACATCACGTGATGTTATCGTCAAGTTTCCGTTATCAATGCATTGTGGATAAATACCGACGCTGGTCTCGTAACACCTGTAGAAAGGGTGACAATTTAAATTTCAATCCTGGAACAAATGTATGGAAAAAAAAGATCATGTAGATATATTTCTTAATACGAAAAAACATTTGACCTACATATTCAGTTGATAACACATATCTGTCGTTCGGTAGTCCAGGGTTTTAAAATACTCATCTTATCGGAGGTATATTTTGTACACTAAATAAATGTCTCTTTGTACTCATTACAAATACTTTGTTGGAATAACGACTATTTCATTTGGTTTTGACCACCTGATTCTAGGAATTAAATTTAATCATATCGCATGTTTAAAAAATGGAGAAAAAAATCTTTTAATTTCTCTTTAAATAACTCTAATGCATTACCTCACAGGTTCTATGTCCGCCAACAGGTACGTCATTGTGGCAGCGGAGGGGTAGTGAAAGAAGGCCAAATATTTACCCCAAACTAGCCATTCTGGAGGATTGACTGTATAAACCCCTCCTACATAAAAGAAATATCGATTCTAAAGTGTGTGACCTCCACGGCTGGAAATTGATAAGTCGAAAAAACAATAAGAAAATACTAACATGTCAACGTAATTATAATCAAAACCCAAAATCCATTACAACTAGTGCAAGATATTGATAACAGAAAGATTTACAAGGAGACTGCTGAAAAAGTACAAGAATAAGGCCAGGTGTTCCGGACGAAGATGTCAACCAAAACCTCGATAAGTTTTTTATGATTCCGTTCTTCGTGTATTTCCTCTTTGATTTGGACGTATAGTGCATGAAATATGTCTTTCTTGGCAAAGAAAGTTCTCATAACAAGTGATCGAATGTGTTCTTTCAGTTTAGAATAGGTCAGAGTGTTATACGGAGTAGAAAAAACAAATGTTATGTTCTTCTGTTTATCTAGAATAATCCACAGGAAAAAATATATTCCAATGTGGTATTGAGTTTTAGGTCAATCACTGCATAAATCAAAGCTTGAATTAAAGACACAAAAAGAATAACTACCCAGTGGGGTTAAAGGTCTACATTTAGAAGTTAGGGAGGTGACTTAGAAAAATCAAATATGATTAAAAAGTGTTTTAAAAAATGGGGCGGTTTACTAGTTCCAACATTATAACAAATTTCCTAATATCCGAAAAACGCAAGGTATATGTTTTCATTCTGAACCGTGTCACTATTAGAATAAATCATGTTCAGTAGAGAGAGCTAAGTAATTAATTCATGAGCATCATCCAGCTGTTTAGCCCTTCTAGGAGCCGTAGATGAAGGTAAGGGTCTACATACATTCCTTGTTGAATTCAAACAAGATATGACACTTATGACACCAAACGACTGTCACTTGAAAAATAACTATCATTTTTATTTCCCTTAATCTTCATTATGATAAGCACCTATATTTAGGGACACATTCAAGCACATGAATACAACCACCATATTGAAGCGTAGGTCAGAACTACAAAATCCGATCACAAGGCCCACACTCTGTAATAAAGCATAAAAAATTGTTAGGGTTCATACAACATTAACATGGACGTCTGAAAATAAACAATAATCCCTTATTTAAGGATACCATTGTGATAGTTAATATCATATCAGATGATATTTTTCACACTTTCTAATTGTTATTTATATCTACGTCCTACTTAGCGGTATCACCTTTAGATGACGTTCGGCTTAGTGTGGTGTTTATATATAAGAGATAAGAAGGAAAACTGGGTTTCAACAATACAATATTGACTACCTGCATCATTAGGGTGTAAAGTATTCCGATACCCAGGAACACAAAATAACCATCAACCTCTCCCAGGCCGACGACCCAGTAAATCATCGATATCATCAACACAGGGTTTATCAGCACAAATGGTAGTTCACTGGTCATCTTAGACAGGTAGTAGGTGGACAATCGGTACATTCCTGCTGACCGTTCCTTTCTCACTACACCTCTCTCAGTACCAACTACAACAACACTTGCAATATGATATATTCATTGGGAAAAAAACGTGCCCAATCCCATCTTATTTCCCGAAAATGTCAATATATACATGGCAAATATTACATCTGCTTACACATATAATTCTTTCGCGCCAAGCATTCAATGAGCTTAATTTTTTTAATCTATTATATTTGTAATTGAGAGAGTAGTGTCATATGCCCCAATTTTTTGTTTAGTCAGTTCAACAAATGACTCTTAATTTCATAATCCACTAAGTCGACATTCATTTCAGTGTCTTTTGCACAATCTGCAACATCACATTCTCAACTTCCCATTGTCCCCTTTCCAACTAGGAGATTTTATTGACATAACAAAATAATTACGAGTTTTAATTGTTATAATTTCATGGCAGCAACATTAGGCTTTTTTAGAACGAGAATAATTTCCCGGGCTATCACATATAATGATACTTACAATATCTAACTGTATTTAAACACGTGTCATATCCTAGGAAAACGAAGATGTAGAACACCTGTTAAGATAACAGAAAATTGAACCTGTTTGAAGGGTTGAATTTGCTCAGTTATCATTATTTCAACTAATTTTATACATAGAAATACTAGCACTGTTGTCATCAACTCTAGCCACATTTTTCCGTGGAATGTACTCAAATTTATCACAGAATGTCAGCCAACTGAAAACGAGACAAAATTGAAACAAGCAAGGAGAATCTAGTAAATCTTATTCCACCAAAATAGGTGTGTGCTCCTCAACTCCCAAGGCTTTAATGTATCATTGCAACTGTTGTATATACGACATATATATATAATATATATATATATACGATATATGTTAAACGACAAATGGTATTACACTTAATCATGTTTTTACTGGCCAACAAGATTAACTTTGATCGAAATGAAACTTCACGCTTTCACGGAGAATAAAGCGCACAAAAAGTAGTTATTTTTCCCTTTGATGAAAACAAACCAGTTCAATTATAGTTATGATTTTAATAAGTTACAAGGTCTAATAAACTTACTCGGTTTTGCAACCTTATAATCCATGATCCACTTCTACCAGAAAACATTTAATTTCACGAATTCACATCGATAATCAATTTCAGTATTCGATTTGTTTGTTTTTTAAACACAACAATTACATTTTAGTACCTGTAACAAACTGAAATATCGCGTTGAATTAATTCACATTCTGTTGTATTGTCAAATTTGAAACAACTGATGCTCCAGTCAGTTCACATTTGTTGACAGAAAAACAAACGTTGTGGTGTTTGCTTATATATTCAGTAGTCAAAATCTTATTACAAATCTCATATTAGTTAATTTTAGTTTAAATAGAAATTACACAATTATTGGTTGTAGTTAATGGTACTTCTTTCACTTGAATTATTTTCCAAACTTTACACAAATGCGAGTGTTAGAGAGTATTTCAGTAACATACCGAAAATAACTAACGAAATACCACGACCAATTGTTTGTGTGACTTGTTTAGTTGACTTGCTCTATACTCACGTGTGATTTGTTAGAGTTAAGTTGGAACGTAATGATGACATGAGCTTTGGAAACATTTATCACTCCACATACATAGTTCCATATCTATTCGCTGTTACTACAGTAAAAAGCTGTATTGGTATATAAAAATGAATTGTACTTCATTTTTCAAACTTACATGAATCATTAACCCCAAGTAAATTAATTAGTATTCCTAATCTGATATCAAATAGTACCTAATTTTATAATCATTTCAATATAACTATAACGAATAACTTAGTTGTGTTACTGTTTCAAGTTTAGAGTTGATATTTCTAAAATTATCAAAATACAAACCAAACCGAATTTGTCTCTTGCTGTCGTTTCTTCATTCCCGATTTGGTAGAAAATGAGTGACGCTGTAACAGCCAGTACAACAGGAACGAGGACATCGAGTACAGAAAGGTTTCCCTTTACTTGTTTGAACGACCTCCAGTTAAGTATTACAAACTGTGTCCAGAACGAAGAAGGCCATCGATGTGTTTCTCCATCATCAACAATATCAAGAACAGTACAGCCAGATGTTTCTATCAATGAAAATACCAATGTGATTTTAAAGATTTATTTTTAGGGAAAACGTTAGACTTTACCACTGAAACACCAGTGTGATATCGAACAAGTTTTCTTTTTCAAGACAAAGAGTTTTAATTATTCTATAGCTATATTCAGTGATGATGTCAGTTCCTTTTTTAATGTCGCCTTTAAAAAACCAGAAAGCGTACCTTCGTTCCTCCGAGGTTGATCACCGTTAGTCTGATAGCTATGAAGGGCCTTTCCAATTGATACAGTGTTGTTATATCTGTAACGTAATTACATAACATTACAAATGTTCATATGACTTATAATTAAAATGACGTCACTATTAAGGTGTTATACTACCTTTTCTGTATAGCCCCTTCTTTGATTGTACTGACGGTGTCGCTGTCTGAAGTGATTACATCCACTACAATAAAAACATTAAATAAAATTAGGCGGGTATCATACAGAGGACACAGTGGATACAAATTTAATTTTTAATACAAATAATACACAAATTAAGCACAATTTCTTTTTTTTTCCTTTAAAATTTAGAATATTTTTTCTGTAAACTAATAAAGCAAACTGCATCAGATAGTCGAAATGTTGCAATGTTTAAATGCAAATAGGGGTTGCATTAAGGGTTAATAAATACGTTTGGTAATTTTCAATAATGGGTGTTTTGAATATGTCAGTCCGTATGAAATTGCATCATTATTCATGTATATTAAAGCATAACAAGAAGAGAAAAAAACGGCTCGACCTCTTCAAATTATCATCGTGTTAAAGATGTTTGTCTAGGTACCAGTTAAACATCTTATTCCTGTTACTATATGATATAACAAAATAGGTTTAGATTTTTATACATCTGTTTCTAAAAAATCCCGTCCTTTACTTACACAAAATATCGGCAGGGTTGTATTCGTCTGGAATCGATATCCCGAGACTAGTCAGATAGCTTAGTGTAGAGTCCGCAGGGCCAAAGTATACGACCTGGATTGAAACGGATTATGATGATACAACACCTTTTTATCTTTTAATAGCGGTTATATGCTTCATAAATTATAGTACAGTAAACGTAAGTTTAATTGTTCTACCCTGATGTTTATATTCTTTAAAAGACTAAGACGAAATGAAATTGTACAAGTATCTTTATGAAAGTTACAACTATGATTGATATCAATAACACAAAACAGAAAAAAAAACTTTTATCGTGAACGCGCAGAGTATATGGAATTTATGATCCATCTCAACGAGGAAGTTTCAATGAAGTCCGTGTTTGATATGTCATTGTGCACAATGATACCTAACACCTTAAGAAAAAAGAAAAGATGTACAAATTATCCAATGTATATTCTTATACCTTTACTTTAATAGATGATGTAGCAAAATATAAATATATAACGTACGTATGACCTAGAGAACTTTCAACATGTGAACACATTCGTGACACTGTGTCTTATCAGAGAGCTATTGCAATATAGGAGACGGCTTGAGGAAATTTGATCAGGGTCAATGTTAAAATTTAGATGGGATGATGCATTAACCGGATAATTAAATATGTTTAATAATTTTCAATATTGGATGATTTGAAATATTCAGATGTAAAACATTTGTATCTTACAAGAGTGGTTGTGAAAGAGAGTTTACCTGTCCCTCAAGTAAAAGCAGAAGGTTGGAGAACATGTGGAAGACTTGACTAGAAGGCTGGTGAATGGTTGTTACTAATGTCTTGTTGTAATTCGTAGCATAATCTCTCAGCTGTACCATCAAATCATGTGCAATGCTTGAGTCTAACCCAGAAGTGGGTTCCTGACCAGCATAAGGAAAGTTTCATAGCAAATATCAGAACTATTATATTGTAAGTGTTTTCTATCATATGAAACATATCATGTATAATTGAAACGCGCTGTTTTAAGATATTAAGGGACCTGGAATTACACGTGCTTTGAAAGAATAGTATCCGTCATCTTTCGGGCTAAAATTGAATAAGATATAAGGCAATATTGCAGTTGTAAACAGATCAAACAATTAAATGCGCAATTATTTCTAAAAAAGATAAGATATCCGCCATAAAAATAAACATGTTCAATTTGAGAATAAATCAACTTTTTGCCACCGTTCATTATGGAAAGATAAATTTTGTATTTTTAAAAGGAATTATCGTATAAGAAGAGAGCAAAGCATTTAACCGCTGTTTTCACATGCGTGCCTGATTATTTCTTGTAACTACAACTATTTACAACTGAATAAAAATGGTAAACAGTAATAAAATGCTTATGTACGCCGACCATTCTGTAAATAAAAAAGTAATGATAATATGATTGATTCTTTTGGGTGGTGTGTAATACAGTCATACAAATAACATATCTGTTGGTTTTGGTTGAATTATTACAATCAATACCACCATAATTATATCACATTGCTGTTAATTCACGTCTATCAGAAGTGAATCTAGGTCTCGTTATTCTAATATCGGTGTTAACTTACGCCTATCAGAAGTAGGTCTGGGTCTCGGTATTGTTATAACGGTATTATCTCAAGTCTATCAGAAGTAGGTCTGGGTCTCGGTATTGATATATCGGTGTTAACTCACGTCTATCAGAAGTAGGTCTGGGTCTCGAAGAAGTTCACATGCAATGCTTGTCCTTTTCCTTTCTCCACCAGATAAACCCCTATTAAAGATGTCACCAACAACTGAAAAATCACCAATATTGAAAATGCAGTAGAAGACAGATTCTGTAACTTCTTTTGTTACATTTCTTTGCGTGCAAAGGTTTATCGTTCATTAACTACATAACAGTTATACAATGTTCGTTGGGTTTATTGCCCCGTGAACAGTCATGGTCATTTTAAGGCGGTGTCATCTTGTATAGGCTGGTGACTACTTGACAGGACATCTTTAACAAGGCCTTTCACATGCAATCCAAGCGACAATTGTAGAGGAAAACAGCACAGGATGGTCAGTGATTAATAATGTTATTCTGCAGTATTTGCTGATGACTGGGCTTATCACTCTATGAACAATCATTTTGAATTGTTGTCTCCTTCAACTAGTTGGTGACTACCTCACAGAACAAACTACGGGAGGCTATACATATATATATGTATATGTATCATAAGAGCAATAAATGTGTAGTTCTTTCCATGGACACAACAATAACAGCTAAGAAATGGAAAAGGTTGTAATAAAAATCTAATATGGAAGGAGTTAATCTTCAGTACAGGAAAGTATGTGCATCTTTGATTTTGAAAGGTTGGGTTGTATATGGCAAAATTAATTTAAAAAATTAAATAATCTAATTGTTCTACCAATGGGATATATATTTGGTTAACAAACTCAATGGAACACTATTCCTGACAAAACATTCACAATGGAACATTATTCTGGACAAACCTGTAGCAATGGAACATAATGCCTGACAAACCAGTAACAATGGAACATTATTCTGCACAAACCAGTAACAATTGAACATAATGCCTGACAAAACATTCACAATGGAACACTATTCCGGACAAACCATTCACAATGTAACATTATTCCTGACAAACCAGTAACAATGTAACATTATTCTGCACAAACCAGTAACAATTGAACATTATCCCTGACAAACCATTCACAATGGAACATTATTCTGGACAAACCTGTAGCAATGGAACATAATGCCTGACAAACCAGTAGCAATGGAACATTATTCTGCACAAACCAGTAACAATGGGACATTATTCCGCATAAACCAGTAACAATGGAACATTATTCCACACAAACCAGTAGCAATGGAGCATTATCCCTGACAAACCATTCACAATGGAGCATTATTCTGCACAAACCAGTAACAATGGAACATTATTCCACACAAAACAGTAACAATGGAACATTATTCCTGACAAAACATTCACAATGGAACACTATTCCGGACAAACCAGTAGCAATGGAGCATTATTCCGAACAAACCTGTAACACCATACATTACCTGTTTCCGCTTTTCTTATCAAAAAGTAGTTTGGGGTTTCCTTGAAAACAATTTGAAGTAGCTTTGAGTTATTTAGAACATTAAATTGTCATGTTAACATTATTAAAAAAGAACTTTCATTTCTTGTGTTGTAATGAAAGACATTTCATGATTTTGATTCTGTACGACTTATAAAGATAGAAACAATATTAGTCCCTCATGGTTTTTGCATTTGGCTTTATTTTCTGTTTTTCTCCAAACAAAACCCACCTGTATGAAGACACTTTTCGAGTCCAAGGGATGTCACGATGCTGTCTATTTGTTTCAATTTCTGTTCTTGTGAAGTTGTTTTTGGCATACTTAGAATCGCTGTAAACTTAATAATAAACTGAGTGGTTAAATCAGCGATCTACAGGACGGACCGAACAATGATATTGAATTGTTAATTTCATCATGGGTATAACAATTATATACATCAATATCTGAGTATTCTAAGTTACATGTAATACGTCATCAAATTCCATCTCGAAATCTTACATATAATGTCTCCCATAGCGTCAGGTTGGACAGGAAGACGTCATCCTGGAGAACGTAACCAAGACGACGTCGTTGTTGTTTCCCAAATGAAGATCCATCCAGAGTTATCTTCCCGGAGGTGACGTGGACTCTTCCAGCTAAAGCATTCAGCAAAGTTGTTTTCCCAGAACCTTTAATAAATTTTCTTATGATATAGCGATACTTTCCGTAATGATATTTTTATTATCAACCTTCAAGGATATGTCGTTGATGATTGTAAAACGTAAGCCTTAATCAAATCTTAGGGCTTCGACAGATGCAAGAGTTGCGGTCGCCGCAGTATCTCAATCGGTAAAAAGCGAAATGGAGTGGAATATGTTCTTCCTATGATAGTATAGTATACTTGCTAACTTCGTTTATAATATGAACTGATCACCCTTGTTGAGATGGTAACACGGATAAAACAATATATTTGAATGGTAGATGTCGTCGATTATAGCAAACGTATTTCTGTAGATTCCATAACGGTATACGGATTTCACTGAACAAAACGTCGTAACCGTTGCAACCACTTTTTTTAAGCATCATACATTCCATCTTTCCAGGCGCGGTCAATTTGTATTCAGTATGCTCAAATGGTCCTGATGTCATACATGCAGACAACCTGGACAGATTTGGCCTATCATACCTATTTTTCAATAGTTTCTTACTATTAGTAAAACATATATATAAGCAAGATGTAAAGATACATGAACTTGTATTCATGTAGTACAGTTTAATACTATGGGTGACGTTTCGGTGACTACACACTGCCAAATTCATAAATAACAGGGTGACATGTCCAGTGTATGCGATTACTGTTAAATCCTAATTAACTCGTGGTCTGTACCTTATATTTTGTATTGATATCTCCCATCAAACCTGTTTAACTTTGAAATGCTTAACGAAAGTGTTTATGTAAAGATTCTTTATACACAACCAGGAATTTTAATATGTGACGTTTCGGTGACCAGTATGATCCGTACGCTGTCACCTTCATCAGACAAATGACCAGTAAAGCATGTACACAAAGGTGTGATATATGTACGAGTTGTCGTGGAATAGCGTCAATTTCGGACATGCTGACAAGTGCCGAAATGACTGTTAGCGAATAGTAAGACCATTCGGCTACGCTTATTTTATTACTTGGTCATAGATGTGCGAGAGTCTATGAGCCCCCTCATCTCGGTTCAGAACTGCCCCGCTGCGGCGTATCCAGATGGCTTCTTTGATCTGTCGCTTCAGAAGATGGTTCTCCCTATCGAGCACCTTTGAGTTTTCCCAGTCAATCACATGGTTTTCCTGCATGGCATGGTCAGTGATTGCCGATTTGTTTATCTGAGACTCCGAGTGCTTCCTCTCTGATCGGGTGAACTTCTTTTCCGCTTGTCTTTCGGTGTCTTTCCGGTGCTCCCCAAGGCGAACCCCGAATCGCCTTCCAGTCTCTCCAATATATGACGCGTCACAGTTTTTGCACCCGATCTTGTATATGCATTCTGCGACATTCTCTTTGGTTATCTTATCCTTAGGGTGGACTAGGATATTTCGAAGCGTCTTGTGGGGCTTCATGGCTGTTGCTATGCCATGGTTGCGGTATATCCTTTGGATGGTTTATTCATAGGTCTTTTTCTGTTTTTTTTCTTTATTTTGACACTGTTTTTGTACCCGTTTAAGGGCCCATTCCGGATATTCACAATTTTTCATTGCTTTCATGATGTGGCTCTGCTCTTGAATTTTGTCCTGTTGTTCTGTGACTATGGTCTCACATCGATTGAGCAACGTACACATCTATGACCAAGTAATAAAATAAGCGTAGCCGAATGGTTTTACTATTCGCTAGCAGTCATTTCGGCACTTGTCAGCATGTCCGAAATCGACGCTATTCCACGACAACTCGTACACATATCACACCTTTGTGTACATGCTTTACTGGTCATTTGTCTGATGAAGTTGGCAGCGTACGGATCGTACTGGTCACCGAAACGTCACATATTAAGATTCCTGGTTGTGTATAAAGAATTTTTACATAATCCTTACTTTCCAACCTGACGAAAATGTTCAGTATTAACTTAACGAAAATGATTACCTTTAAAATGCTTAACAAACTTGTTTAATTTCTGAATGCTTGACAAACCTGTTTACCTTTTAAATGCTTGACAAACCTGTTAAACATTTAAATGCTTAACACACCCGCTAAGCTTCCCAATGCTTAACAAACCTGTTTGCCTTAAAATGCTTAGCAAACCTGTTTAACTTCTAAATGCTTATTTTCGCTTTCATAATTGAACGGATCAATATATTTAGTGTATCTCGTAATCATTTAACAAGCAGTCACACTTTATAAGAAAGTATTCGATGCAAATTCGGTTAACTAATTTGATTCTGGATTTTACGATGACGCTTACTTGATCTAGTTAGTGGTATGAGTTCAATAAGACAAATATTAAAAGGAACCAAAGTATTAAGCATGCTCGTTCAACACGTACATTATTATCCGTTTTGCATTTGTATAAGGCGTCTCTAAACGTCTACGTTCGATAGACAGTTGGTACGAATTTTTGCAGGACGTTTCTGATTTCAAAATATATATTGAAGGAATAGGGTTGTATCTTAACTCTGTAATGACATGAACTATTATAATAACTGCTCCCTATATAATATCTAAGTAAGGGATGCTCCCCAACAACTTCCGCTTCCGCTATAGTCAGCATGGCTACCACACATGTAAATGACCATCAGACAGAATACAGTCATATCAGTCTTTAAAACGGACTTGTTGAGTTATTGCATGGTGTCAGAAGTAACAGTAGATGTCCAACGTCAAGGATGAGTGATTATTTTCCTGCGCCGAAGCCATTTTCCTTAGATGGGAACATTTCAGAAAGTTGGAAGCGCTGGCTACAACAATATGAGCTATACATGTGTGCCACTGAGAAGGATAAGAAATCTGAGAAACTACAATGTGCCACTCTATTATCGCTGGCAGGAGAGCAAGTTATAGAGCTGGTAGGTACATTTAACTTCGGAGAGGAGGAAAAGGATAAGATAGAACCTTTGAAACAGAAACTGTCTGAATACTGCATTCCGAAAAAGAATGAAACGTATGAGAGACATGTGTTTAATAGCAGGGTACAGAAATCCGGAGAAACATTTGATCAGTTTCTAACAGAGCTCAAAGTTCTTTCAAAAGATTGTGGTTTTGGGAATCTGAAGGAAGGTCTGATTCGAGATAGAATTATAGAAGGGATCGGCAAAGATCAAACCCGGGCACGCCTGTTAAGGGAACGCGAGCTGAATCTGGATAAATGCATTGATTTATGTAGAGCCGCGGAAAGAACTGACGTACAAATGAAAGGTATCGTGTCAGAAAACACTACTGAAAAGAAATCCGTAGATTTGATAAAGAAACAGTCTCAAAAGAATCCCAACCAGAGTTCATACAAAGGAAAAGGCCCACGAGTCCCGCAACATAATACATCTCGATGTCAGAAATGTGGAATGGATCATAAAGGAAGTCCATGTCCAGCTAAGGAAAAAACTTGTTATAAATGTGGTAAAACAGGACATTACCAGAAACTGTGTAGGACAAGAACCAATTTTAACAACAACAATTTGAAAACGAAACCAAAACACCAACAGAAAGTACACTCAGTCGAGACAGATCAACAATTCTTTGTAGATGCAGTACATGACAGCAACAAAACTGATGATTCATGGATAGTTAACATTGATGTCAATGGATGTGCTATACCGATGAAGCTCGACACAGGCTCAGATGTCAACATTATGGGTATTGCAGATTTTAATAGGATCAACAAGCAATGTCATAAAATTAGACTTCACCAGTCAACAGTTAAATTGACAGCCTACAATGGAGGATCTGTCCCAACCAAGGGACAATGTGTACTGGACATAAAATACAAAGGTTTTACAAAGAAAGCGCTGTTTGTCATTGCTAGCAGTGTTGTTAAACCTATCCTAGGTAGAAAGCAGTGTGACAGTATGGGACTTGTCAAACGGGTACTGATGGTGGACAAGGAGGACAGTGTAAAATCACCAGATATTTTCACAGAGTACAAAGATTTATTTGAAGGGCTAGGATGTCTTGCCGACAAAGTAAAGATTAAGTTAAAACCTGATGCAGAACCAGTAGTGGAACCCTGTAGAAAGGTACCATTTGCACTCCACGACCAGTTGAAACAGGAGTTAGACAGGATGGAGGAACTACAGGTTATAAAACCTATTGAGGAGCCAACTGAATTTGTAAATTCCATGGTAATTGTACATAAAAGCAATGGAAAGTTGCGTGTTTGCCTGGACCCCAGAAACTTGAATAGGGCTATATGTAGAGAACATTTCAAGTTACCCACTCGTGAAGAAATTATGGCGAAGTTTGCTGGTGCAACAGTCTTTTCAAAGCTTGATGCATCAAGCGGATTTTGGCAACTACAACTGGAGGAAAAAAGTTCCAAATTATGTGCCTTTAATACTCCATATGGTCGATATCGGTTTCTTCGTTTACCATTCGGAATCTCCAGTGCACCAGAGATCTTCCATAGAACTATACACCTTTTGTATGAGAACATGAGGGGCGTGGATACATCCATGGACGATATCATAGTATGGGGAGTTGATCAGGCAGACCATGACAGAAACTTGCGAAACGTGTTAGATAAAACGCGAGAAGCTGGGTTAAACTACAGCGTGAGAAATGTGAAATTTCTGTGCCCGAGCTAACATTTCTTGGAGATAGAGTTACAAAGAACGGTGTTAAGCCTGACCTCGAAAAGGTCAAAGCTATTCAAGACATGGAAAACCCCAAGTGCAAAAACGATATTCAACGTTTCCTAGGGATGATCAACTACTTAGCGCGTTTTATAAGAGACTTGTCAACGCATACAGCACTCTTGAGAGGTGTGCTAGATAAGAAAATCTGTTGGGAATGGACAGATGTTCATCAGAAATCGTTTGAGAATTTGAAAGAAATTGTCTCAAACAGTCCAGTACTTCAGTACTACGACCCCACAAAGTTGATCAGGATTTCTGCAGACGCAAGTCAGAAAGGACTTGGCGCAGTACTTCTACAAAAGCACAACACCGAGTGGCTCCCTGTTGCGTATGCATCACGGGCATTGACGGACACAGAATCACGATATGCATCGATCGAGCGGGAAGCATTGGCGGTTGTCTATGCATGTGAAAGGTTCCACCAGTATGTGTACGGAGCAAAGTTTGAGGTCGAAACAGACCACAAACCACTATTAGCGATTTTTACAAAAGGTTTAAATGATTGTCCGCCCAGGATACAACGATTCCGACTACGGGTACAAAAATATGACGTAACCTTATTACATACACCAGGAAAGTATATGTACACTGCGGACACGTTGTCGCGAGCTCCAGTTCATGGTGAACAGTCCACAACCGAGAATGACGTTGAGGTATATGTTGATGGAGTCATGGCAAATATTCAAGTTGCAGATCGTAAACTTGAAGAGATACGTGTACAAACACAAAAAGATACAGTGCTCATTAGCTTAAAAAACACCATTATGGATGGATGGCCAGAGAGTCGCAGTGACTGTTCTTATGAGATACGACCATTTTGGAACTTTAGAGATGAACTGTCAGTGATTAAAGGGATAGTATTCAAGGGATCCAGAGTGGTAATTCCTAAAAATCTCAGGAAAGACATGTTACAGAAAATACATGCTGGACATTTAGGCATGAGCAAATGTAAACAAAGAGCACGCGAAGTGTTATTTTGGCCTAGCATGACTGAGGACATAGAGAATTTGGTGAAAATTTGTGAACCATGTCAAGTTCACCAGAAACAACAGATGGCTGAACCATTGTTGTCACACCCAATACCGTCAAGACCATGGCAGAAAGTCTCAACAGACTTGTTTGAACTGGATAGAACCCCATATATTGTTGTCGTAGATGCCTTTTCTGGCTACCCTGAGGTGGTACAACTAACCAATCAAACCTCAACAGCGGTGATCCAAGTCATGAAGACTACTTTTGCTAGATACGGCATACCTGAACAGGTAATGAGTGATAATGGCCCTTGCTATAGTAGCAAGGAGTTTCTTAAATTTGCGGAGGAATGGGATTTTCAGCACGTGACTAGCAGTCCAGGATATCCGAAATCCAATGGTATGGCTGAACGAGCAGTCCAAACTATGAAATCCATTATTCGCAAATGTAAACAAACCAACCAAGATCCACACCTAGGATTATTGGCATACAGAACAACACCTATGGAGAATGGATTATCTCCTGCTGAGATGTTAATGGGTAGACAACTCCGCTGTAATTTGCCCATTGCAACTGGAAAACTAAACAAACCCGAAGACCACTATGTCATGTCGTGGAAAGAAAGACAGAGAAAAACACAGAAGTATTATCACGATCGGGTTGCAGTTAAAACGCTTGAACCACTCACAGAAAATACAAAGGTTCGACTTTGTGAACTAGGAGAAAAGAACTGGAGAAAATATGGAACTGTGATTGGTCCGGCAGGACCAAGGTCCTACAAGGTTAAGTTGAATGACAGAACAGTGAGACGAAATAGAAAGGATCTACGTGTAACAGATCCTAACCTTGAACGCGAACTTGATGTGGAACGTGAACCTGATGTTGAACGCGAACCAGAATTTGAAGTTAACTGCAAACCAGAACTTAACCCAGAGCCAGAACTCGGCAATAGTGACATTGAGACGAGTAACATGTACAAAACACGCAGCGGTCGTGTCATTAAAGCCCCCAAAAGGCTGATTGAGGCCTAAAGGAACTTGCCTTGTGTTATAAGACTGTATATATGTTAATGGTTTAGTAGTTGACTAGATAAGATAAATAACACAGAATACAATGGTGTAAAATGAACAATTTTAATTCAATTTGAATCATTTAAAATATTCATCATCTAGTCATATGTGAGCTTAACTAGTCAGTTTATATTGAGTTATTGTTAAAGTAGTTAAACCATGTTAGTTATTGTACATCTATTGACTGATTGGTGGCCATGTTTGATATTGTTAATAACATAGATCTTAACTTGAAAAAAAAGGGAGATGTAATGACATGAACTATTATAATAACTGCTCCCTATATAATATCTAAGTAAGGGATGCTCCCCAACAACTTCCGCTTCCGCTATAGTCAGCATGGCTACCACACATGTAAATGACCATCAGACAGAATACAGTCATATCAGTCTTTAAAACGGACTTGTTGAGTTATTGCAAACTCTTATGCTTGTGTTTAAAAGAGAGCTGTTGAAAAAATTACTCATGAACTCATGAAAAAGTACAAGGCGAATGAGTCCAAGTGTTCCAGAAGAGTAAGCATTTTCTGCTTCCTCGACGAAACCCGCCGTGTAAGCCTTGGTCAATCCAAGTAAGTAGTGTCACGCAATCAAATGAGAAGAAGCTATACCGAAATGGAACCAAAAGGCAAACTGATGAGCATCAAACACGTTCATCTTGAAACTGCACAAAGAAATATAATATTTCTAAATGAGATTACTGTGACGACCGTAAAACTTCCACCTAATTTCCATCAACCTTAATGTTTTGAATAGGATATTCCTTTGTGTCTGATTCTGACAGGGATATATCTGTTTACTGGAATTTAACCTGACAGTCCCTCATTTAAGAATGACGATTATTCTGTCGTTTAGTTGTGTGTAGAATCTGTCGTAAACCCTTTCACGGCAATGAATAACTATTTAATAACAATTTTAGCAAATATGACACCTGCGCAATAGATTAAAGTTTATTGAGTTTTGATTTACTAATGCAATACGTCCTATTAACAGTCAGGATCATTTAAGGAAATAACAGGTTTGGATGGTGGAGAAAAGCCGGAGTTTCCAGAGAAAAAACACCGAGCTGCTGCCGGGGCAATTGCGATATATCGTCATTTACACCAAACATTTAGTGGTGGATGAAAACATAATATCGTATCAAACGGATTAATATGTTGAATGATCTCCTACACACTAAACATTGCCTCTTACAATATATAGCTAATTACGATTTTGAAGATTTTCTGTTGTGTTGTTGTGATGTCCACGATAATGACTGATATTATCTATCTGGTGAAAATCTACTCTTAGAACCCCGGAAACGTTCTCCTTAAATACGTGCTGTCCCTCTCCCTCTCCATCATTAGATGCTTGATGATTGTTACATTGAAGATAACAATACCCACTGAACAGGGGCCAGAGTCTGACGATAGTGAAAACTTAAATTACTAGAGCACGATTTCTGCGATTGCTATTTTCCTTGCGAAAGCTTCAAATAGTTGTCTATTTTCAAGTATCTTATGTTTAAAATAGAATATACTTGTTAAACGATTACTTGTGAAGTTTTATGGGGTGTGATGTTAACATAAATACTGAAAGTATGTCCTTTCCTCTGAAATTCTCACCTTGTGAGTAATTTGACCATCTTTGTATACATACGTATGCTTTTATTGGTGCACTCTGTATCATCCGACACAATACACACGGAATAAATTGGATCTAACTTTTTCATAATTATTTTTTCATTTTGACTTTGTCAAGTTTTAACTAAACCTGTTATTCTGATACAGTGCTGTCTATTAGATTGGTTTTTTTTTTTTTTTTTTTTTTTTTTTTTTTGTTTTTTTTTTTTTTTTTTTTTTTTATCCTGATTAAAACAATAGAGAGCCTAACATTCCCGAGTTATCGTTAGCTGTGAAATAGGTGAGCCACTTTTAAGACAGCCACATGTAACATACAGGATTATAGTGCAAAAAGAGCAATTGATGACATCACAAGCATGTTTTAACACTGAATATTCACTACTCTCTCTGTGTTAGATACCATCGTATTAAATGAGTGACAACATTCAGATGGTATAATGGGAATGGATTCCCTATTTTGTATTTAGTGCAGATATAAACCCTATAAAATGCCGAAATGAAAACATGCCACCGAATAATAAAGTGCTACATCATGACTGGAATAGAAGTAAGTTATGATCGTTATAGATATGCGTTACTTTGTAAACAAGTTTTTTTATCTGTAACAAAACTAGGCCATTCGGTCTGTCTATTTACATATATACGTACACCACAGGTTTTCTTCTTCATACTGGCCATCAAAATTATCATAAAATGGATTTGAATGAAAGGAGACGCGTTTGCGTGAGACCGTCTGGAAAGGAATACGCTGTTGAAAGACTTTGCTTAACTAAAACATTTTTTATGTGAATTCATCTGACAATGACACGGATCATATCAACCCACGGCCCTGAACGATTTAGGAAGATTTCAGTATGTCTTCTCACCCATACCATTTCATCAGCTTTCAGTACGTAGATTAGCAGTATTTATAAGATATATATATATATTATATATATATATATCACTAAAATCTGTTATGTTGATAATTCAGACGGTTTCATGTTTCAGGGATCTAAGGTAAATTTTGCTATTTTAGAAAATCAGCCACCAATTCTGTGACATCATGAAGTTCTCTCGTGACTCCATTTCGTAGTGTAGAGTGATCAAATTTCGAATAGAATGCTGTAAATATATAACAATAGAGAGGAAATATCTCGTTTGAATTTGACAATAATTCTGTTTATGGTAGCGCGTGCGTTCTTGTGTTAAAGACATTTTCCTGTTATATGTCTACGAAAGTGTATTTTAGACATCCAACAATTAGATCAGAAGAAAAAAACAAAGTTGTCAACAATTCGCAAATGTCTGACAAATACCACATCTATTAATGTATTTAGGACTGGAAGTGCCATTACCAGAAGTCTATTTAGGAGATTCTGTGCGAACTGTATACACCAGACATTACTTACCACTAGGACCCATGACAGCCAATATGTTTCCCCTTGTCGCTACTCCAGAAACATGTTTCAGTACTTCTTTGGGGTGATTAACACACAAATCATTGAAGATAAGATCAGTTCTTCTATACTCCATCTCTGTCAAAGCAGGTGTAGATGTGTGGTAATGATGCCTCAATGTATTTCCCTCAAAATATCACGATGCTGCTAGACGCAGTCATTGAGACCATAACACAACTTCCGCTTCGTTTCAGTGTTAATCAATGTACTGAAAGTCCTACTACACGATAGCAAAGACGACTTTATTCAGAAGCGTGCACCGGTAAATGTTTGTTTTAACAGTTAATTTCACATACTAGTTATATAGCCATTGAGCTATTTATTTACTGTTTTCGTAGTCAATATTTACTATAATACACAAACTGATATGTTATGTACATCAAGCTGACATAGAAAAACTATCATAAAATTTTTAAGATGTGCCCCTCTCTTGTTGGGGAGAGCGAAATACGAATGAAAATACACTATAAGCTTATGTTCGAACCGAATTCGTTATAGAGCCAACATATATAATGCCGACGAGATACACTGTACAAATGTGACATTTCTTCACACTAAAATGAAAGTCACCGATTAACAGGCCACGAGTTTTCATTGTTACCTGTTTACGGATATGAATCTTACAATACATGGTTAAAAAGTTACACTAGATGGATGACACAATGTTACCCTATGTGCGATGAATGCACGATGTGCGGTTCTGTCACATATATGTATGATTCTACCGTGGTTCATACAGATTTAGAAGTGACCTATGAATAATTGTGGTATATGATTTATTTACTTTCTAAATATATATGAGAGTATATTTTAATTTCGGCAAATACTTTCAGACACCTGTAAATCTATAAACAGGCAAACAAACGAGCATCAAACATGTAAAGTTTCATATCGCACAAAGGATAAGAATATGTTTTCAATTATATCACTCATTTTCAACCATTAATAAAAAGATGAAGCGAAATTAGGTCATCGTTATTCATCCATGTTACAGGTAAGTGCGTAAGTGTGTACAACATTGTTCAGTATTGTCAGTTTGTCGTCCTTGTGTAAATAAATTACGTGTTGTCGCCGTCACGATTGGTTGCTTGTTATCTTGAGTAATCTGCTTTATGGAGCAAACATTCATATGACACGGAAAAAATGTGATGTAATGAGAATAGGATATTTTTCACCTACATCAGCAAGGAATGGTGTAGACCTTTTGTAAAAAAAGAAAAGTTTGTCTCATTCTAGAGATATATTCAGACTGATTGAGATCAGGCAGACACTATACGCGAAACAGGCAATCATTAAGAGCAAAGATTGAAGATTTGTAGAAAGGCTGAATCATTCTTTCATCTTTAGTGGTCTCTGTTGTCGTAAAATGGCTGCGTTTCGTGGTCATATGCAAGAAGGCATTCGGAATAGTGACCAATTGAGCCTGTGTATTGTGTGGGCAGCGTTATCACTGCAACACAAGTAACAAGTACGGCCATTTCATAGCAAGTTCGTTGCTAAGTTGATTGGCAATATACATATCTACACGGTTAGTGCTGGTGTTACGGATGTAACGTTGAAAATTGACCCCCGTTGAAAACGGACCCGGGATCCATTGCCGTTCCATTTTCTTGAAATTGGACCCAGGATCCACAGCGATACGGTATGTTAGGGGAGGCACTCGCTGCAGTTCAACAGTAGGGTCTAGTAGATAATTATATAGTGGTGTGCGTTTATAGGCCCTTGACAAAATAACACGAAATTAAGTCCTTGTTAAATACTGTTTATATCTGTTCCGAGGGTTCTCCAGTATACATCATTGTATATATCACTGATAACTGAATGAACTAGGGTTGCGCAGTAGTACATAGTATATCCCGGAAGGAACCAAAATTATCGGCGTGATGTCGGTTATTTATTAAATACTTATTTAGACCAATGTCACCAACTTCACGCAGGAATGTTTTGTATGTATTTCTGAAAATTCCTTTACAGATTAAGGACTTCTATAAGTGTTTTGTATATGTAACCAGATTATAACATAAAAGGTGAATTTTCATGAACGTGAGTATTCATGCTTAGAAACAGATCAAATGGCTGCAACTCATTGACGTAATGTTTCATTATAAGATCGTGAAACAACATATAGCAACATCGACAGCCTTTGGAGGTTCAGGTGAGCTTTGCTGTTACCTTCGGTGAGTCATCTGTTGAAAAAAATAGGAAGTAGAGAATTCAATATAGTTAATAAAAGGTAATAACTTTTATAAGTTTCTCATATGTTTTAGGTGGTAGGTATCTTAATGGTTGTAACCGATGTCTGTGAGTAACTAAGTTTGTGTGCGTGTTCATTCTATAATCATGTCTTAACGTTATAGCGTTTTGTTCCTTGTTGGTTATTCTTTCGTGCTATATTTGTTTTCTATAAACGTGCTTACCTCATGACTTAATGCCTGATGCTTTATTGGCTATGACATTGGTCTTATTGGCTATGACCTTGTGTATTATTGGTTGTGACCTTGTGTATTATTGGTTGTGACCTTGTGTATTATTGGTTGTGACCTTGTGTCTTATTGGTTGTGACCTTGTGTCTTATTGGCTATGACATTGTGTCTTATTGGCTATGACCTTGGTCTTATTGGCTATGACCTTGGTCTTATTGGCTATGACCTTGTGTATTATTGGTTGTGACCTTGTGTATTATTGGTTGTGACCTTGTGTATTATTGGTTGTGACCTTGTGTCTTATTGGTTGTGGCTATGACATTGTGTCTTATTGGCTATGACCTTGTGTCTTATTGGCTATGACATTGTGTCTTATTGGCTATGACCTTGGTCTTATTGGCTATGACCTTGGTCTTATTGGCTATGACCTTGTGTATTATTGGTTATGATCTTGTGTCTGATTGACTATTACCTTGTGTCTGATTGGCTATGACCTTGGTCTTATTGGTTATAACCTTGTGTCTTAATGGCTATGACCTTGTGTCTTATTGGCTATGACCTTGGTCTTATTGGCTATGACCTTGGTCTTATTGGGTATGATCTTGTGTCTGATTGACGATTACTTTGTGTCTGATTGGCTATTACCTTGTGTCTGATTGGTTATGACCTTGTGTCGTATTGGCTATGACCTTGTGTTTTATTGGTTACGACTAAAATTTTGTCTTATTGATAATGATTTCGTGTCGTCTGATTGGTTATGGTATTGTGATCGACTAATTGTTATCACTTTGTGCTGGAAATGTCTTTGTATATTACATGTTATGACTTTATCTTATTGGCCATGGAGTGTGTTCCCTGTGGATTAACACTTTGTGTGTTCCTTATTAACTGAGATGTGGTGTGTTCCTTATTCATTAAGAATTCGTGTGTGCCTTACAACCTGTGATTTATATTTGCCTGTTGCTATCGGCAACCTGATATAATATTTTTGATATTAGTGTATAAGTCACTCATAGTGATAAGTCTTGCGGAAGGGTATCTTTTGATATTTTATGTAGAGTGATATTTGATTTCGATTTTTGTGACTGAACCTTTTAAAAGTGTAACTTACCTGTTCCTTTTACTTTCAATTTCAGTTTTCGTTGTTTAAGTAAGTCGAAATCGATGGTTTTGAGAACTTCGTCATTCTTTTTGACTTGGATTGTGTATTTCCCCTTGAAGTACCTCCTGTTCTTGTAGGTTTTTAACTTTGCTGACCAGTTAGTTCTCCAGGCGGTGTTAACAAGATCCATGTACTTTTGGCCTGCTTTATTCACCTAAATAGAAATCGTAATTACCAAACATTTCAACGTCATTTCTTCTATTTGAATATCACAACAATAATAGTTTCACAGCAATTAAGAACATGAACTATGTACAAGGTACACGTGAACGTAACATTTCTGTTTGACACGTTTCTTCGTTACAACGCTGTAGTGGAACGTAATTTCTGATAGTTCATATAGTTCAAAAGTGCCTTAAAAGTTTGGAGGTTACAGTTCGAGCCCAATAAAGGAAACCCTGATCTTTTCTCTCCTGGTCAGGAAGACTTGTTGTTAAACAGTCTGTTGTAAATGGTTATTTATGATCTTTCTGTATTTTGTCCAACTGTAGTAGTAGGTGCGACAACTTGTGTCGTATTCGTTGCGGGATAGAGCTTAAAATACAACAAATACTTTGCCATTTGTGATATCAAAAGTTTGGTGTTTGTGTTGGATTATATTAATGATTCCATAGTGCTTATACAATGGATATCGTACAAAATCTATTAAATTCTATGACTAGGGCACTTCCCCATCTGACCTAGATCTATCTGGTTGCAAAGGACCTAACGCATCAAAAACGATTCCTAGAATGACGAAACAGCTATATACAACTCAGAAATTTAGATAATTAGTTATTTATAGTGTATGTACATTGTAATTATATATAGGTATTAAATATATTATATATCACTTAAACGTCTTAAGTAGAACCATTTGAAGTTAACATGAAACCGTATATATATCATGACATGGCTGAATAATGAATGATATGAAGTAACGATACATACATGTATGTGAATATATCAATAAATAATTAACAGATGCGTGTCTTCCACAATAGTATATGTTGTATTGAAAATATCCATTATCACTGGAACTGACCGACCGATCTATCAATCCTTCACCAAGCGACATTCGGACACATCAGAACCATAATCCAAAAAACACTTTGATAAAATTTGGGCAAAATTAAACAAAAGAACGATTTATACGGGGACTCGTTAGATAGTACAAAGAGAATAAGATCAGGTATTTCGGAAGAGTAAGCGTCTTCTGCTTTATGGACGATACCCGCCATTTGAATCTTTGTCAATCAAAATAAGTCATTACGCGATCGAAAAACAACTTTCAATGCAAAAGGTATTACAAATAGGTAAATATATATCTTTTTACAGGCAGGACACATTTTCCGATCATGGGACGACGAGGTGAAGACTAATGTCAATAGATATGAAGTCATAAATAAATAAATAGAATCGATCATACGATGGAGAAGGGTGGTGAATTATGGTAATTTGTGTTTTCTTGTTGATGTTAATTACAGACCTAGTTTATACATTTGATAATAGGAGATTGTACAAAACATACAAGTTGATATATGAAACACCTTTCCATGCAATTTTAGAGTTAGATACAACAGATCCAAATAATGAAACACACGGCATCATACAATTTCTTCGTAAATTTAGCTCCCCCTTACATACTTACAGCAACCGTTGGTTCCGTGCCACCGTTGGTTGGCCATTTGAGGGAAGCACCCCAGAATCCCCAGAGAATCACGCCTGCCACACTCCTGTGACTGAAGTACATTGTGAGCACATCCTCCAGGGCTTCCGCCTTTGCCGTAAAGTTTGACCCCTGAATGGACATCTCTGTTACCCATATAGGGAGACCAGCCTCGGCCACCTTGTCCAACCGATACTGTGTCGAGAATTAGTTATATCGGGGATATTAGAATAAATTTTAAAACGTATTCTGAGAAAAACATCATGAATAAAAGCTTCCATATATGTTTAACATTAATATTTGTTGTACCTTGAGTTGCGTCATATCTATATCGGTAGATCCAAAATGGCTCTGAACTCCGATACCATGAATAGGTACTTGGTTGTCTATAAAACTCCTGGCCTGGTCCTTTAAGGCCTGGAGAAGGAAATAAATGTTGGTACAAAAAGATGTTGCGGACATATTTCCGTATTGAAATATTTTATTGAATTATTTGTTATTAAATTTATCTGAATCAATGGTAGTGAACTATAGACATAGGCTATGCAATCCCTCTTCCCTGAAATACATAATTTCAAACATCACTCCAAAATCATTCGAATATTAGTTATGATAAAATTTGTTTTTAAATGTCTTTGAATTATTATATGAATTTAAAAATACAAAGTGTTATCATTATGATTTGTGTGTGTGCTTGTATGTATATACGAGTTCATTAATAAATAAACAATTAAAATTACACACCTTAAAAGTATGTGATTTAAATATCAGTTAATATTCACAAATTAGTGTGAAACTTACAATGTATGTATAGTTTACCGTTTTGGATGATGCATAATATATCACTATGTATCTGCCTTCACCGAAGATTGTTGTACTTTAGTATCGATTGTAGAAAAGTCAACAAAGGACAAGTTAAAACCATCTTTCCTTCTAGGACTCGTTAGAGATGCTATAGGCCTAAATTGATAGAACCTAGAAGGCGACTGTGTAAAAGCCAAATTGGTCATAATGAATGTAAAAAAAGTAGTTGAGGAGGTGTACCAGTCTCAAATTTAGTACTTTACTGTGTTGAATGCAAATGATTTCAAAACAATGTGAAGTAAATACGTATTTTCTGAAATTCATTCCCTTAATTTTGCTGATGTTCTTAAACCCAAAGACTACAGTAAACATTGATGATGACAAATGCATATACAGCGAAAATTAATGGAGATTTCCTTACTGACCCAAGATAATCATTCAAATTAATGTTCTGCGTATTTAATATTTAATAGAAACAGATTTAGCAATAAAGAAATTCCTGATAATGGCTGTGTTTAGTCTTAAGAATTATCCCTGTTACCACGATGTTAATATAAAGATATTACATTGTAGATATTCACCGGATATGTCTGTATTCCAATGAATAAGTGTCTTTTATCACTTAAAGTCTTTGGGTTTAAGAACAAAATAAAATGAAATACAATTTATAAAATGACGTATACAAAACATGTAGTGAATGAGACACACTTTATCCTATACAATGGCTTTAATTATTCTTAATTGCTTACCTTCATAAATTTACCTACATAAACAGCTGTTTTCTACTCTGATAAATGGATCAATCTTAATGGGTAGATCTTTCCTATTGTAATGCTTGATTGACTTATTCCTTATGTCTATATGAGTTACAGTCAAGGATAAAATAGAAGCCATCTTGGATGAAGTGTTTCGTAATGAACATAATACAAAATATGTACAATCTTACCGTTGTGTATCTACCTTGATTGACGACACCAAAGTCGTTGAGAAAGAGCTCTGTGTTTGGTTCGGCTGCGTTCATATCCCGGAACATATCCATGGTGATGTTTATATTTCCCGTCGTCCTCTCGTAGAAGTCATCGTGAAGATTCTCATTGTTTACATCCCAATGCGCAAGTCTGAAGGAATACTCAAACATTTGTCTTGGTGGAAACTATACAGTAAACAACCTGTTGGTTAAATTATAAACAAACAGTGCTATCTTTATAAATAATTATCAGTCCCAGCTCAATGGAAATCCAAATAGAAAAGCATTATCATGGCAGATTATTAGTCGTGGAGGTAAGATTTGCAAACATCACAGGTTCAAACATAATTACCTCCCTTTGGTGAGAGTTACAGCCTCACTAATTCTGCCATTAATTTTGGACAACATCTCTGCAGGATCTGTTATACTCTGCACCCAGTCAGGAACCCATTGTTCAACGCTCCAGAACACGTTATGTCCACGAATCGACATCCTAAGAAAACAATACCAGATGTCTCCAAACTGTATACAAGTGTTAAGATTATGTATTTGAAACAGTACTGACAAGGTTTCGGGAGCTTTACTGTTGTATAATTCAATCAATAAAATATAACATCAAATGAAACGACAACAAACTTCTATCAATATAACCCTGTAAACGATACCCAAATACCTTAATTGTTTCCGACCAAATCAGGGGTTATCATGAAAGGTCATTTCAGACCTGATGAAAATAGGTCAAGGAGAAGTCCTACTGTTACTGTATACAGTGAATACATCATACCCGTGATCCTACTGTATACAGTGAATACATCATACCCGTGATCCTACTGTATACAGTGAATACATCATAGTGAATACATACATCATATACTGTTACCAGTGAATACATCATACGTGATCCTACTGTATACAGTGAATACATCATACCCGTGATCATACTGTTACTGTATACAGTGAATACATCATACCCGTGATCCTACTGTATACAGTGAATACATCATACCCGTGATCCTACTGTATACAGTGAATACATCATACCCGTGATCCTACTGTTACTGTATACAGTGAATACTGTTACTGTATACAGTGAATACATCATACCCGTGATCCTACTGTATACAGTGAATACATCATACCCGTGATCCTACTGTTATACAGTGAATACATCATACCCGTGATCCTACTGTTACTGTATACAGTGAATACATCATACCCGTGATCCTACTGTACACAGTGAATACATCATACCCGTGATCCTACTGTTACTGTATACAGTGAATACATCATACCCGTGATCCTACTGTTACTGTATACAGTGAATACATCATACCCGTGATCCTACTGATACTCTATACAGTGAATACATCATACCCGTGATCCTACTGTATACAGTGAATACATCATACCCGTGATCCTACTACTGTACACAGTGAATACGTGATCCTACTGTATACAGTGAATACATCATACCCGTGATCCTACTGTTACTGTATACAGTGAATACATCATACCCGTGATCCTACTGTATACAGTGAATACATCATACCCGTGATCCTACTGTTACTGTATACAGTGAATACATCATACCCGTGATCCTACTGTATACAGTGAATACATCATACCCGTGATCCTACTGTATACAGTGAATACATCATACCCGTGATCCTACTGTATACAGTGAATACATCATATTGTATACAGTGAATACATCATACCCGTGATCCTACTGTATACAGTGAATACATCATACCCGTGATCCAGTGAATACATCATACCCGTGTTACTGTATACAGTGAATACATCATACCCGTGATCCTACTGTTACTGTATACAGTGAATACATCATACCCGTGATCCTACTGTATACAGTGAATACATCATACCCGTGATCCTATTGTATACAGTGAATACATCATACCCGTGATCCTACTGTTACTGTACACAGTGAATACATCATACCCGTGATCCTACTGTATACAGTGAATACATCATACCCGTGATCCTACTGTATACAGTGAATACATCATACCCGTGATCCTACTGTTACTGTATACAGTGAATACATCATACCCGTGATCCTACTGTTACTGTATACAGTGAATACATCATACCCGTGATCCTACTGTACACAGTGAATACATCATACCCGTGATCCTACTGTTACTGTATACAGTGAATACATCATATACTGTTACTGTATACAGTGAATACCTACCCGTGATCCTACTGTATACAGTGAATACATCATACCCGTGATCCTACTGTTACTGTATACAGTGAATACATCATACCCGTGATCCTACTGTACAAAGTGAATACACCATACCCGTTATCCTACTGTTACTGTATACAGTGAATACATCATACCCGTGATCCTATTGTATACAGTGAATACATCATACCCGTGATCCTACTGTATACAGTGAATACATCATACCCGTGATCCTGTTACTGTATACAGTGAATACACATACAGTGAATACATCATACCAGTACATACCCGTGATTACTGTATACAGTGAATACATCATACCCGTGATCCTACTGTATACAGTGAATACATCATACCCGTGATCCTATTGTATACAGTGAATACATCATACCCGTGATCCTACTGTTACTGTATACAGTGAATACATCATACCCGTGATCCTACTGTTACTGTATACAGTGAATACATCATACCCGTGATCCTACTGTATACAGTGAATACATCATACCCGTGATCCTACTGTTATCATACTGTTACTGTATACAGTGAATACATCATACCCGTGATCCTACTGTTATATACAGTGAATACATCATACCCGTGATCCTACTGTATACAGTGAATACATCATACCCGTGATCCTACTGTTACTGTATACAGTGAATACATCATACCCGTGATCCTATTGTATACAGTGAATACATCATACCCGTGATCCTACTGTATACAGTGAATACATCATACCCGTGATCCTACTGTTACTGTATACAGTGAATACATCATCCCCGTGATCCTACTGTACACAGTGAATACATCATACCCGTGATCCTACTGTTACTGTATACAGTGAATACATCATACCCGTGATCCTACTGTTACTGTATACAGTGAATACATCATACCCGTGATCCTACTGTTACTGTACACAGTGAATACATCATACCCGTGATCCTACTGTATACAGTGAATACATCATACCCGTGATCCTATTGTATACAGTGAATACATCATACCCGTGATCCTACTGTTACTGTATACAGTGAATACATCATACCCGTGATCCTACTGTTACTGTATAATATAACATACCCGTGATCCTACTGTTACTGTATAATATAACATACCCGTGATCCAGCAGGTCGTTGAGTGTGGCGTTTGCGTCGTCAAATCTTAAGTTATCCTGTTGATATTTCAAAGTTTTTTAAACCTTCATGTACAATTATGAATTTGACACGGATTTCAATTTCAATTGCATTTAAATATATATAGGAAAACTTCATTCTTATCTGATAACTTCACTGGTCGTATTCTTCCTCTACTTTTTCAGGAGTCTCACTGTAAATCTTTCGTTTGTTCATAATTTGTCCTAGTTTTACTTTGGATTATGGTTTTGTTGACGTGTTTTTTCTGTTGCATTTTACTTATTTTGACTTGAAAACCTATTTGTTAAGAAAGTTTTTGTTCAAGATTTTCTGTAAGATATGACATTCCAGACAGCATCAACACGCGTAAAATCTCGGAAATGTTTTAAAAATAACACAAGCTACTCTAATAATGGTTTAAATTATGATCATCTTTACTTGTTTCTATTCTATCTGTCAAAATCTCAATTAACTTTATATAAGTAAAACCTCACGTTACCTCGGTCCATCTCATACCCCTCCACTTAAGAGCGTTTATCAGGACACCCCACTCCGGTCTGAGAGTATTATGCACGAAATCTTTGAAGACTGAGTAGCTGGAGTTGGTCCACAGCTTTGCCTGGAGTGCTGTACCGTGTCCAAATTCACTCCGTTTTTGCTCAACCGTAAAACAGAACGTTACTATCATATCAGTTGATACTTTCGATAGAAGAACAGCTTAATACAACAAAATAATGACAGGATTATTGCGTTGTAATACAAAGCTGCACAATAAAATGTAAGGGAATCAACATTATATAATTTGTACATGATAGATGACACGAAAACCTGTCTAACATGAACTCTTGATAAATGATAAACATCAGGTTTCCAAGGTGATTTCTAAACTACGACGTGTGACTACAAACAATAAACAATAGGTCTCTAACGGGAAATCTAGACTTTGATGTGAAAATATTACATGGTGTCAAACTTACCTCTATCGTAAATTGTTTAAGCTTGATCCCCTTGACTTTTCGCACACTTAAGATATAATCAGAATAAGATACATAAATGACACAGAGACACACAATTTACATGCGCTGTAACATAAATCATTGTTCTGGATAGTATGTGAATTATGATTACATATACGTGTCTAATGTTAAAATAATTATTTTTTGATCAGTTCACATCATAACCATATCGATATGAAAATGTTCAATATTCCAGTAAATTATTGACATTTTAAAAGGACCACTACTTCAACATATGTTTACAAGTTCTTTAAGTTACAAGAATAGTAGAAATGCTGATTGAAATATATCTGGTAGTAATTAAGAAATGAGACCAGGAAAAATAGTTTTGTGACACTATGATAGAGGTGGAAGACATTTAATTAAGTGACAAGTGTGTAAATAAAAGATGTTAGACTCACATGATATTTAATGTAACCATACGGTTCAAATCAATGTCCGATTCAGCATTAGACTTCCAGTTTGGGTCCGGCACAAGTTCAAGGAGACTTGCGTCATCGAAGAAATAATTCACATCTTTTTCCTCAATCTGGATATAAATTTTGATTTCTTTAACATCTGAAAAAAAAAGATGAATTACAAATATCGAAAGTATAAGTTAATCATTTTATTTAAAATGACAGTTCATTCAGGTAAATTTTCTACTCTGTTTCGACAATTGTGTTGTTATACCATAAACACGCGAACGGGAGTAATTTGCAGACGAGTTTTCGTTGTATACTATTAAAAAAACAGTTTCGTTGAAGTAAAATATCGTGCTTCATCATGAATGAATAGCAATAAGTTTTATCACTCATCTACAGGGTTCTCTGAGAAATGTTTACTTAACGAACAATCCAGGTACCTACTTTCCGGGAGTTTGAAGTCCCCGCCCACTTCATGCCAGGACCCTGGTCGCAGACGAGGATGAATGCTAAGATTGGAGTAACTTTTGCTACCTGTAAACGTGAGACGAGTTGGAAACAAGTTCTTATAACATCAGTATGAAATCATAAGAATCTTTCTATTTTCCAATCCACAGAAGTTTCCAATACTGAATGCTTTGAAGGGATGCGCTGTTATTTAATGTTTTCCCGCTGTTAAATGAATATTTCAGATTTAGAAATTGGCATCCTGATGATATATACAATTTGTAAACTGATATTTACAATTACGATTAAGTCAAGTATTGTTAACAGCACGTACCGTCGAGTGTTTCTACCCGTAACTTCACAAATACATCATGATACAGGAAGCCAGCCGCAAGGTTCTCCAACTTAATGTATCCAACGAAAGCATACAGTTTACCGGAAGTGACGTCAGGTGTTTGGATGAAATAGCCAAGTCCTGCCCAGTTATTGGACCTAAGGAAAGAGAGATAATAACGACATAATCGAATCCTTTAGTTTAATGACGAATCATATGCAGACGCCATGGAGACTTACAAGTATCAGAAATACTGAAATGTTTCACTTAGTTAAATGTTTGTAGTGATGTTGATCAGAAATAAAAAAAAAAAAAAAAAACAAGCTGACGGAACCTTATTCAACTAAAAAACAATGATATTTATGAGCAAAAGAAAGGAGCTCTTGAAAAAAAATCAATGAGCGGTCGACATCCAGCACAAAAATCATGATACTGTAAACAAGCCCTGTAATCGAATCATCAGTGAGGTAGAGAAAGCGATGTTGTTGTTTTATACACAAGATATGTCTCAGTGTCAAGATAGAATTGATGACACCCAAAACAGAACATGAAATAAAGGATTAAAAAAACTACTAAGTAAACAAAGAAAACGAGACATGCAGAATCACAAGAGAATAACAGATTCTAAGCAATAAAAGATGTCATTATGACGATCCATTTATATCCACAACATGTCCACGTTTATTGTATTCTGTAATATATATATATACATGGTATTGTTTAATATATATTCACATTTCCGGTGTGTACCCTCTATATAAACCTACCAACGAAATTGACGTTTACACTTCGGTAAACCTTACGCGTCTGAATACATTGGCCTTCAGTGACTTTACAGCGAGCACACTTGGTGTGATGCCAATAAACACCGGACGGCTATGAATGAAAATGATAACCTACAGACAACTTCTTTTGTGTGTGAAAATACATTACACAACATGAAAGAATTACTTACAAGTTGTTGTTTTTTTATGTTTGTAATTCAAATAAATGATGCTATATTGTGGAACTGTATCTGCTTACGTCTTGTGTATGACAATTGTTCCCGCCAAATTGCAGTCAGCTGTTCGGCTATTCCATCAGATGTCGGGTATTCTCGCCTAAGTGTGTAATGTCCAAACAATTGAAACCGGAATTTTTAATGCGGTATTCTCAAAGAGGAAACCAAAAAAATGTAAATATTTAAGAAATAATTAAAATTTTTTGTTGTTTACTGGTGTGTACACTGCATTTTTTAAACAGATATTTTCTAACGCGCGTCATTGAAAATATATGTTTAAAAAATGCAGTGTACACACCAGTAAACAGCAAAAAATTAAAATTATTTCTTAAATACATGGTATTATATAATATATATACGGCATTATATAATATATACACGTTATTGTATAATATATACACAGTATTGTATAATGTATGTATAATATATATAATTATATACACGGTATTGTATAATATATACACGGTATAATATATACACGGTATTGTATATATATACACGGTATTGTATAATATATACACGGTATTGTATAATATATACACGGTATTGTATAATATATACACAGTATTGTATAATGTATAATATATACACGGTATTGTATAATATATACACGGTATTGTATAATATATACACGGTATTGTATAATATATACACGTATTGTATATATATGTATAATATAATATATACACGGTATTGTATAATATATACACGGTATTGTATAATATATACGGTATTGTATAATATATACACGGTATTGTATAATATATACACGGTATTGTAATATATAATGTATAATATATACACGGTATTGTATAATATATATAATGTATAATATATACACGGTATAATGTATAATATATACACGGTATTGTATAATATATACACGGTATATAATGTTATAATATATACACGGTATTGTATAATATATACACGGTATTGTATAATATATACACAGTATTGTATAATATATATTGTATTGTATAATATATACACGGTATTGTATAATATATACACGGTATTGTATAATATATACACGTATTGTATAATATATATTGTATAATATATACACGGTATTGTACAATATATACACGGTATTGTATAATATATACACGGTATTGTATAATATATACACGGTATTGTATAATATATACACGGTATTGTATAATATATACACGGTATTGTATAATATATACACAGTATTGTATAATATATACACAGTATTGTATAATATATACGGTATTGTATAATATATTGTATAATATATACACGGTATTGTATAATGTGTTATAATATATACACGGTATTGTATAATATATACACGGTATTGTATAATATATACACGGTATTGTATAATATATACACGGTATTGTATAATGTGTTATAATATATACACGGTATTGTATAATATATACACGGTATTGTATAATGTATAATATATACACGGTATTGTATAATATATACACGGTATTGTATAATATAATATATACACGGTATTGTATAATATATACACGTATTGTATAATATATACACGGTATTGTATAATATATGTATAATATATACACGGTATTGTATAATGTATACATGTATACACGGTATTGTATAATATATACACGGTATTGTATAATATATACACGGTATTGTATAATATATACACAGTTGTATAATATATACACAGTATTGGTATATACACGGTATTGTATAATATATACATGTATAATATATACACGGTATTGTATAATGTATATAATATATATACGGTATTGTATAATATATACACGGTATTGTATAATATATACACGGTATTGTATAATATATACACGTTATTGTATAATGTACAATATATACACAGTAATGTATAATATATACGGTATTGTATAATATATACACGGTATTGTAATATATAATATTGTATAATATATACACGGTATTGTATTGTTATAATATACAATATATACACGGTATTGTATAATATATACACAGTATTGTATAATATATACACGGTATTGTATAATGTGTTATAATATATACACGGTATTGTATAATATATACACGGTATTGTATAATATATACACGGTATTGTATAATGTATACACGGTATTGTACAATGTATACACGGTATTGTATAATGTATACACGGTAGTACATTGTATAATATATACACGGTATTGTATAATATATACACGGTATTGTATAATGTATACACGGTATTGTACAATGTATACACGGTATTGTATAATGTATACACAGTATTGTATAATATATACACGGTATTGTATAATATATACACGGTAGTGTATATAATGTATACACGGTATTGTATAATGTATACACGGTATTGTATAATGTGTTATAATATATACACATTATTGTATAATGTATACACGGTAGTGTATAATATATACACGTTATTGTATAATATATACACGGTAGTGTATAATGTATACACGGTATTGTATAATGTATACACGGTATTGTATAATATATACACGGTATTGTATGATATATACACGGTATTGTATAATATATACACGTTATTGTATAATGTATACACGGTATTGTATAATATATACACGGTAGCGTATAATGTATACACGGTATTGTATAATGTATACACGGTATTAATAAATACACGGTAGTGTATAATGTATACACGGTATTGTATAATGTATACACGGTAGTGTATAATATATACACGGTATTGTATAATGTATACACGGTTTTGTATAATGTATACACGGTATTGTATAATATATACATGATAATGTGTAATGTATACGAAGTATTGTCATGTCGGACAATTGGCTAATCCTAAGATATCTATCATTAAAATACAAAATACCTTGAGGTGATGAGAACACTCTGCGCTCCTCCACGTTTCTCTGTCGTACTAATGGCCCAGGAACATCCCGATTTACTCCAGTAGGTACCTAGGGTAGCCGACTCAAAGTCACCATTCCCCAGTAAATTAGTCCCCGCGACAACCAATACACAAGTCCCCACCAGGAGCAGGTGAACAATTAGAGACGCCATCATTCTATCTCTGTTGTAATTAAACATGTATATTTTCTTTTGTTTTACTCCAACATTCCCACTGCTAGTATTTGCTGTCTGATTGGTTGAGAACTAAAATGGCGAGTTATATCACCTTAAGAGATCTCTCCTTCAGAGGTCACGTCTAGACATCATGTCCACAGCTTTTAAGAAACTTTATACTAAACACGTCATCAGTTTATACTGTTGCATGTTACTTTGTTAGTTACAAGTTTAAACAGATAAAATAATAGTTGAATAGTCAGTACGACGCCTACGACATCTTACAGAAGTCAGTCACCATTCGGAAAGTCACTTAGGGTGGTCAAAGCCACTCTCAGTACATGTGTACTTAACTGCACTTTCCATTAGCATTTCCATTTACTAACCTCACACACACCTAAGGCGATATGAACGTTCAACAGGCCATGTGGGGTGGGTGTACTTATAAATAAGGCAGGATCAGAAGTCTACTTTAATGAACACTTCGGTATTTATTATCTATTGTGATTTTCTTTTCTTATATATATTCAATATAGCTAGTGTGTATGTAATGACAATTCTAGTTATGTACGCTCATTTACTATTAAGATAGCTACCTGTTTCTTCAATAATTCGACAATTGTGGGGAGATATATTTGTGTTTCGTTTTACGATATAAAGCTGGACATGTTGGATGCCCGTTAGTTTGCCTGTTGGTTCTGTTGTTATGTACACCTGGCTCTCATTTGAGAACGTGACATTAAGTACTTGGATTGACCAAGATTTACATGGCGGATGTCGTAGATGTAGCCAAATAAGCTTACTATTCTGGCACACCTGGTCTTATTCTCATTGTACTTTTTTAGGAGTCTCCTTGTAAATCTTTCTTTTGTTCATATTTTGCCGTAGTTTTCAAGAATTTGAGTTTGGATTATAATTATGTTGACATGTTGGTATTTTCCTATTGTTATGGTTACATCGGAAGATAAGAGGTTCTGGTCAATACATATCCTGCGCCATGATGTCAAAGAAGGCATGTAGTGTCAAATTTAGAATTACAGATATAGCCGTCAACTCAAAAAAAACATAGTCCAAAATTGTCATCTTAATGTTCTTCATCCGTGTATTTTTGTAAAATCCTTTGTGGATGCGAGGGACAAATTCTGAGGTTAGATTTAAATTCTCGCTGTATGACGTAAACTTGCATGCCACGCTTGTCCGCGCTCAATCAGAATAACAAGGTTCAGGAGATAATTTGCATTTTTCTTAGCCCTCTAGTATTAAAAGCGACAAATATTGTAGAGTAATGTGGTAAACTCAAAACTATTTTGATCGCCAGTCACTGGCACTTTCTCTACACTTGGTAATGCTAATTCACTCTCTTATTCATAAATGATCATTATTGATAATCAACAGTTAACTTTGGTTGAAAAAAATGTTCTAGAGATATTTTACAATGATCGTTTAGATGTCTCTAAAACAGTATTATCATTTTCTAACTCTTCAATTTCTTGAAATATGATAATTTTGCGCGAGCCTTTAAATGGCAGTTTTACCGGTTCTCAAATATTCTTAAATGTTCACTTTATATACTTCAGATAATGAACTAAATAATTTGATCAAAATATTTGGTGCAATGAAAAGCGAAATAGTCTTTTTTTTTTCTTTTTTTTTTTTTTTTTGAAACCATTCTTATTTGAGAAACTTTTGAAAACTGTCATTTATCCAAGTTTCAAATTGTTATTTTTTATCAAAAACATTTTTAAATGTTTTCATTTATTTTTGACCTGAAAACTTGAAGCAGAATATACTTATTCAAAATTGACACCCTCTGACTACGTACACTTTTTTAACATATTTTTATGGGAAATACTGTCTACTGTCAGCGCCCAACAAAATTTACTTAAATTGAAAAAAATAATCTTTTGGCTATCAAATAACACCTTTACCGGTTCTCGATTTTCCTGAAAATTTCAACAAGTGTTCTTAACATAATGGGCCAAAAATGTATAAAGATTTATGGTATAATCAAACTGGAAGTAATTGATTAGTTTTTTTTTTAATTGTCTTAGCTGAAAAAAAAATGTAAAATAAAAATAAATAAATAAATAAAAGAAAGAAAAAACATACTTTTTTCAATTTTGAAACTGTATGATTTTTTTATTTTGCAATATTTTGATACATATTAACCATCATATTGTCACACTGATCCTTGTTAATCAACTAGTACATCAACTGGTAATGTACGCTGTGGTTTTAATACTTTTCCAGTTGACAAAAACTGAATCCTGTCATATTCTTACGGTTACGACACTAAATGGGTCGTAGCACAGGCACTATGGACCTTTTGAAGGTTTTAATCCTATGTTATGGAAAGTCACTCAAGGTGCTACAAATAACTACTTTTATCTAACTTGGTTCGTGGGCAAAATTTCATCCTTCATGAAAGAGATCCTTTATAATTTAACTTTCTATGGGAAATGCGGGGTTGAAGCAATGTGGAATATTTTACATATCTTTGCGTGAAGCACAACTTTTATTCAATACATCATACTACATTCAGGAAGTGTAAACGACTTAATAGAATATAGATTCAAATGACAAATATCCACGTCTTTTTCTGGAAATGATCATCACATCTATTTATATTATTTTACAGAGAAAAAAAACACAATCTCACTTCGATCACATCTATTACAAAATCCGATTACTTTTTTGAAGATAAACGTTCTTCTATCAAAGGAACACAACTATATTCTCAAACTTTGCCTGTGACCTACATATTACTTAGCCTCGATGTGACCGTTGGCGAATCAGCTGTAAAAAGAGAGTAAATGTACAATGACTGATTGTCGGGAAAGGGTTTTAATTCCTGGTCTTAATTATCTGCAGAAATAATTTCTAATGATTTTTTGTATTATTTTTCAGGTTCTCCTTACAGTTTGACTCTAAGTATCAAATATTCATGTGTTCTGTTTTGAAATTGATCAGTTTTATACTGCACTCTATGTGCACCTTGTTTATGGTAAATAATATTGATATAGATCTGTGTATCTACTTATCAATTATATAACTCAAACAGAACTGTTTACAAGCTTACGTATATGTTTTGAACAATTGCATATCTGATAAATGTTACGTTTAAGTCTCACATGTCCTATGTTTATGTGTATATTGAGTGTCAATATGAAACAGATAATACGTACTTGTTCCTTTGATTTTCAATTTCAGCTTCCGGTTCCTCAATAAAGAGAAGTTAATGGTTTTCAAGGTCACCCCATCCTTTTTTACTTTAATGCAGTAGTCTCCCTTAAAATATCTCCGGTTCTTGTACGTTTTCAACTTCGCGGTCCAGTTGGTTCTCCATGCGGTGTTAACTAGATCGACGTACTTTTGGCCGGCTTCGTTCAACTAAGAAATATCAGGAAAATTGACAACATTCAGTATACCTGTGATCAGTTAAAACAGACGAAGGCAAACTTCCTATGGCTATCCTTCATAGACATCATTAATCGAACTGGAAAAATGGTAATTGACATTTCCGAACACCTTGAGTAATATTACTTACAACAATTGGTATCGTATCTGTAGTCAGAGTATCATCTGGCCACTGGATAGATGGACCCCAGAATCCCCAAATGAGGATGCCAGCCACCTTCTCGTGGCTGAAATACATTGTCAAGGCATCCTCCATGGCCAAAGCCTTTGCGGTGTTGTTGGTGCCCCGGATAGACATCTCCGTCACCCAGATTGGAGGACTAGCTTCGGCAACTTTGTCCAGTCGGTACTACGATTAGAATCAAATTAATGTATACATAAGGACTAACATTATCTATTGGTCTACTGGTAATATATATAGGAAAATGTTTTGATCCTGACTGTGCTAATCCTAAACCTATAGACCCGAGGCATCCCTAGGGCGCGACGTTGAAGAATCTTTCCCCGTAGATTCGTTTATTAGGTTCATTAGATTTTGATAACATGTCAGTATTACCTCGTTGTTATTGTCACAGTGTTGATACCATCAGTACTGACGGACATCATATCTGATTCCATTCAAAACGTGATCAAGGTATCTAGATTATACAGGGGCAAAATAAAAATATTTACCACGATGAAAGTAAAGAGTTTCTAGTGATGAAGAACCGGCAAAATTTGAACGTTAAATCAATACGTTTAATTAACAAGAATAGTATTCAGATCTGACAGTCTATAATATCAAGTTTGATATTTGTATATGTTATTCCTGGGCAGTTGTATGTTACTTTGGATGTCCAACTTACTTTGAGTTGAGTCATATCTACATCAGTAGACGGGAAATGGCTTTGAACCCCAATACCATGGATTGGTACCTGGTTGTCCACAAAACTCTTGGCTTGGTTAGTTAGAGCCTGCAATGGGAAAATGTGATAACAGGAACAGCTGTATGTTGAGGCCTTACTAGCTCAGGTACCTGGGAATAACATTAACATAGTTAATGATATCATGGATAGTCTACATATAACAGATAATACGCCAGTCTAACTTTGATGTCCTGACATGATATCATCTACTTCAGTGGGTTAATGGACTAATTAAAAAATAAAAAAAATGACAATTACTTTAAAATAGAAAATATCTGACGAAAGTTTTTTTCGAAGTTCTGATTCGTAATATAAAGACGCCAAGTCCATATTTGAAGAGAATTTCAAAGTTTACACAAAATTTACAACAATTTCTTGTTTACTTAGACAGACTTTAACAGACTTAATGAAACATAAGGAAGCTTTTAGGGGGTACCGTTGTGTAAACACCCTTGTTGAACACAGCAAAGTCATTGAGAAAAAGTCCGGTATTTTGATCTTTCGCAAACATTTCTCGGAACATGTCCATCGTGATATCAACATTTCCGGTTTTACGCTCGTAGAAGTCGTCATGTAGGGCTTCATTGTTGACATCCCAGTTTGCAATTCTGCAAATAAATAGAGGTCGTATGGGTACGTCAACAAAACAATCGAACCGTAAAATCTGGCACCTTCTAGTGACGTGGCACCTTCTAGTGACGTTTTCTAACATATCCTGTGCTGTAGTTCACGTCCGATAAATACTTCCTGTAACATACTAACATCCTCAGAGAGTTTGCTTTTATAATGGTTCAAATCAACACATCTTAAGTCATGCTCTACATTTATCAAGACATTTTACCAATAACAATAAAAGGCTAATGGAATAGATCAGAAATAATTTAGATATTACAGAATTCGGATACTGTAAAATCATTGTCTTTCGTGGTGTTTTTGTCTTCATTCATCGGTTACTTTACCCGTGAATTTTTATGTCCACCAAATAATAAACAGATAAAACTGACATGGATTTTAATACTAACGGATTTTAGTAAGATTTGCACGAAATTAAGTGCAAACAAAAATGCACATTTGGTAAAACTAAAACTTTGGACCCGACGAAAATATTTGTCTACACAGTAAGCAAGTCTAATGTTTCTTTGAGCACTTTTGGGTATATAGAAGAATTATATATCCGATCATCAATATTTTATCGGATTTGTCTAGTAATTTTATCATATCCAATCTAACTGATACACCATCTTACACTTCTATCAGAGAACCGGCGAGAGACAAAGCGATATCTCCATCAATTAACGTCAATGAGAGCACTTTTAACGAGTGATTTGTCACAAACGAGAGTTTATCTTCCTTGTTAAAAATTAGTTTAGACATGATCTAATGCTGACACCTGTGTCAAATCAAGTTACATCATTAAAGTTTCTATTTCACTATAAACACTATTCAACTTTTCTTGCATTTTTTACAAAATTATCGTCGCTTTTTCGGATTCGTGATCGCTGTTAACAAGCCAGTTTGATTGTAATTCCTCTATATAACACACAGGCACCGTCTTGGATTCGCATTCATTGTAATTTCTTATTCATTTTAACGAAATAAAATATTTATCGGTTCTTGCATTACCTCCCTTTGGTGAGTGTAACCACTTCGCTGATCCTTTCTTTGATCTTGGTCAACATCTCTGCAGGATCTGTAATACCTCGTACCCAGTCAGGAACCCATTCTTCGACACCCCAGAACACGTTATGTCCTCGTACAGACAGTCTGAAATGAAAACACTTATTTTATAGTATTTATGAAACCTAAGCGAGCATTGTAAATAAAAAACGCTACTTAATTGTTTGCTATGTTCGATGTCAATCCAAAAACCGTATCAAGATAGCGGTCCAAATTAACCAATCAAATTGTACAATTGTATTTTACTGTCAATAAGACATTCTGTTTTCATTTTTTCTGCTTTTCTTGATTATTAACGTGACATTACGGTAAAACAGTTTTTCCTGTTGTGTTTATCAGTATTGCCTATATATAATAAGCATCACCTGATAAACAAGCTAGATGGTTTCTAAGCACATAAAGATGTTAATAGATAATAATGGAAGGACGATCTCTCGCCGTTGATCAACAGTTTGTACATGTATTTTTGTGTTATATATATAAACCCACAGCACAATACATCAATAAACAGTAGTGGCTTCCCATGTGAATCTGTCACGGTTGTAAAATACTACAATGTCAGCCACAAAGCGAAGGGTAGCCAAATGGGCAGAAGAAGTCCGAAAATTTCATCGGAGAAGCCTACCATGGCAGATGGGAAATTATCAATGATGATTAGTGTATTTTGCAGGTTTGACTGACGGAGTGACCTTGTGGATAAGGTCAAAGCTTGGCTTGCTTACAATACGTGTATGACTGTAGGGAAACTTTTACAGAAACGAGACTTTCATTTTTTTTTTTTTTTTTTATTCTGAATTTAATTTGGGTTATTGAACAACATCTCCTGTCAACAACACATCCGGCTGTCGTAAAACAGGTGTTTGCGTACTATGTCTTTACATTTCATGCCACCATCTCGTGTGTTCGTGAGTACAAATGAAAAGCCACGTTTTCAAAACTATAAGATAATGTTTTCATCTCTAAAATTAAATTGGATTTCCCGAATAAACTGAATCGTCAACCTGGACGTTAAAAATTGATTGTGAATATCGCGACAGCATAGAAACGTAACTGGAAGTGTATAACACACACACAATTAATAAAAATAGCTTTTTTACCGTGATGTGAATAAATGTTGTTTTATACAAAACTTACCCGTTATCCAGCAAGTCATTGATAGTCGCATTGGCATCGTCAAACCGTAATTTATTCTGTTGGGAGAAACAATAAAGAAATACGTCATTTAGATTCTGTAAATATATTTCAAGTTTGGTAAATAAGCATCGATTATATAACAAATGTAGACGTGTAATGATTACTGTATTAGTATGATTAGAAGGAAAGTGTAACAGACATGTCTTCTGAATCTAAAGTCGAACTCAAAGTAAATAAGAATAGGGTAAAATATGAAAGAGAGTACATTGAGATACCTGAAATAAAACATGGAAAATAAGACCAGGTGTTTTGAAAAGGCGAGCGTCTTCTGCTTCATCAATGACATCCTATTTTGAACTTGATCAATTTAAACAAGTAAAGCTACGTTCTCAACGTTTTACTGCGCCAGTACCATGTACCAACAAGCATATCAATTAGCATTAAACAGGTGCAAATATTTACATCTTTTAGGATGAAACTGTAATCGTCAGTACTATATACCAAGTTAAACCACAGATATAAGGAGAGTTAGAACACGAATATACTGATGTAGTACATCTTATGTTTTCCATATTCCATTGCTGCAATGTTTGCCTTCTATGGAAAATCCTGAAGCAATGGCTGTGACGGTGCCTCTACATTTGACATATGGTGAGATGTTAAGTTCAGCTGTTTTCTGGTGAAATATATTTCTGATGTGTCAACATGCATCATTCCCCTAATCAACTAGATTAATAGTACCAATTAGTCGATCATATACATATGTATGTCATGACCATATGGTGACTGTAACCATTCAGGATGTCATCGATACAATAGGTGTAACGAGCCATTTGTAAACACTGGTATTCGTTATTTAACACATGCTATATAAGTTTACTATAGAAGTTTTACCTCGGTCCAACGCATGCCCTTCCATTTGAGAGCATTAGCAAGCACAGCCCATTCTGGTTTGAGAGTGTTGTACACGAAGTCATTGTAGAATGCATAGCTTGAGTTGGTCCACAACTTAGCTTTCACCGCTGTGCCGTGTCCAAACTCGCTTTTTTTCTGTTCAACCTTAAAAGATAAAGTTGGTTGATCTTAAGTCTGTTTCCGTTATTCAATAAACATGTCTCCTCTGATAATACATGATTATGAAATGATTACACTGTGAGGAATCTCCCGGGCCCCAACCCTTGAGACCCTATTGCTGGGATAATAAAATTTTTATTTTTACAAGAAAAAAAAATCTTCTATTTAGCTCGATCGGTTGAGCGTCGGACTAGTAAGCCAACGGTCCCGGGTTCGAATCCTAGCAGAAAAAATTAATTAGATAATGACACGACTGTTATTACATGTACAATTAAACACATTTTAGAGGGGTTTCCGGTGTGATGTGTGAATGGTAGACACGTATTCCGGGTAGTCAGGTAAATCGTGATTCATCCGTTGATTATCGGGGCCTTATAATCTGAATTTGTTGTTTTTGACTTTATTATGAACTAATGTCCTATATGTAATTGTCATTTTATAAACATTTTGCACCTCTAAGGTGTTTTGGTATCGCCGAGATGGCACCCTCGGACGGTACGGCGGTCGGTAAAAATGGTAATGGCGGTCGTGCAAAATTTGAAGAGAAAAGGTCGTTTCTGAAGGACAACACTGTTATCGTTGACGTGAAAGATAATTCTCTTGTGAAGGCTAGTAGCCTTATTAAAGAAATTAGTGAACTGTGTGGCGAGGAAACTATTTTGGCATGTGTTCCTAAATCAGGAAATCTGTATGAGGTGACACTGGACGGACGTGCCCCTATTAACATTCTGGTTGGAGGGGTGTCAGTCGAAGGGAATATGTTTGAATGTTGGGAAGCTGAACAAAAATTTGTGCTTGTCAGCTTTTTACATTTGGCTGCGTACATTTCAGATGATGAAATTATATCGAAACTGGGAAATTTGCAGGTTGAGCTTGTTTCTCCAATTAAAAGGAGATATTACCCCGGTACCAAAATAGCAGATGGAACTCGCTATGTAAAGGTAAAACTTCCGCCGAAAATAACATCGTTGCCATACAGCATGAAATTTGGAACTGGCTACTATCGAGTTATACATGATAACCAATCCAAAGTTTGTTCATTGTGTTATTCGGAGGAACATGTGTTTAAAGAATGTCCTTTGTTCGTTTGTTATAAATGTGGTGGCCAGGGGCATTATGCACGCGCGTGCCGTACACCTCAGTGTCTCAAATGTGGGTCACGAGCCGGGTGTGAATGTATCGAGGAACCTAGAGCGCGTGTTATGTCGCTGTGTGAGGAATGCGGGCAGTTTGGCTGCGCGTGCAACGATATACAGAACAGGTGTACTGACTGTGACAAGGTTGAATGTGTATGTAGTACCCCGATTGTACTGGAGCGTGAGAACGGTGACAACAACCAAGAGGCCCAAGGTAAATGTAGCTACAACGCTAGTGTTAATGTGTCGGGTGAAGGAACAACGGCCGTAACTGATGACGCTGGAGCTGTATGGGATGAAAATATGGAGGAGTATGTTGATGAGGATGGAGCTGAGGATGAGGTGGATATTTCTGTAGACAGTGATGGTTCGGTATCGCAAGAAGGATGTTTAAAAGGAAGGTTGTGGAGTAATGGTGAAGACTTGGAGGAGGAGAAAAGTGAGGATGGCGACAAACTGGATAGAGCGTGTGACTTTTTTAAAAATAAACCTGGGTATGCTAATAAAAGGAGGGGAAAAGAAAAGAGTAGCAAGGAAATTAAAAAATTGAAAAAGGTTGTTGTTGTTTTGAATAAAACATGATTATTTTACTGCTTTTTGGCATGATCAATATTGTTTCTTTTAATGCCAATGGCTTAAAGGATGTTGATAAATTGAAGTGAGTTTTTGAGCATTTTCAAGAATGTCGGTCTGATTTAATTTTTGTACAAGAAACTTTTTGGAGTGATGAGTATGTTGGTCAAATTAACCATTTATGGAATGGGGTTATTGTTAACAATAATTCTAATGATAATAGAAAAGGGGTTGCCTTTCTTGTATCTAATTGTTTTAAAGATAAGATTATTGATTCTGACGGCTATAACTGTCGTGTTTTACGGTTGAAAATTAAGATTGAGGATGAAGTATGGAACTTTGTCAATGTGTATACGCCTAATATAATAAATGAAAGGAAATTGTTCTTTGATAATCTAAAAGGATGGTTAACTAATTATTCTGAAAATTTAGTTGTTGGTGGTGATTTCAACACTACTTTCTCTGATCTTGATCGTACTGGTGCAACTAGACATCAGGTAAATTCAAGTTTAGCTTCCTTAAAGTCATTAATGTTTCATCTTAATTTATATGATGTATGGAGAAGTAGGAACAAAGAAGCTGCTGTTTTTTCTCGCAAACAAGTCCGGGATGGGTCGCTGTCCCAAAGTAGAATTGATTATTCTTTGGTGTGTAAAGATGTAAGTAACTATATTCAAAACATATACTACAATGATACACATTTTAGTGATCATGGTTTTGTAAAAATGAAAATTGATAGTGTAAATATTGAGAAGGGACCTGGTATTTGGATTTTGAATAACTGTTTTTTAATGGAGGAAGATTACAACAATAGAATAAGGTCTATTATAACGGAGGCCAAAGAGTGCCCTTTGTATGAAAGTGAACCAAGTGTTTGGTGGGATAATTTGAAATACGCTATCAAAAATTTTTCAATGGTTTATGGCAAAGATCGTTATAAAAAACGTATGTCTGAATTCTATAAAATACAGAACAAGCTGCGGATATTTTCTGCTAAAATTTCGGCTGGACAGCCATTCAATAGTAACGTGTATGAGGAATTGAAACAAGAGCTCGAGAAATATGAAAAGGTGAAATGTAATGGTGCTGTATTGAGGGCTAAGGCCAAATGGGCTGTAGAAAGTGACAAGAATTCAAGCTCCTGTTTACGCCTTGAAAAGTTCAGGCAAGACAGTAATTCCATTAAAGTATTAAATGATAGTCAAGGTAATGAATTGAAAAGCTTTGATGAAATTTCAAAGGAAATATTCGATTTCTATAATTCGCTGTATAATTGTGCTGATGTAGAAAATGCAGATATTGATCGATTACTAAGTTATGTTCATGCTAAGGTAGGAAAAGAAGATAAGATTATATGTGATGCTCCTATTAGTATGGAAGAGGTTAAATGTGCACTTTTTGGTATGGCAAAGAATAAAAGTCCGGGACTTGACGGATTAACAGTCGAATTTTATTGCCATTTCTTTGATATTCTTCATAATATATTTTGTCGAGTCATTGAGAGTGTGAGGAAAGAAAAAGAATTGTCTAGGACGATGCGTCAAGGAGTTATTAATTTAGTTTATAAAAAGAAGGGAGATAAAATGTTTTTAAAAAACTGGAGACCAATAAGTCTCCTCAATGTTGATTATAAAATTATTGCGCGTATTATGTCATATCGTCTAAAACATGTTTTGCCTTCTATAATTTCGCCTGCTCAAACTTGTTGTGTTATAGGTAGAGATATATCTGACACAATTTACAGTGTCCGTGATATTGTTGATTTGGTTGATAAAGAACAGATTGAGGGTTATGTTTTAAAAATTGACCAACAAAAAGCTTTCGATCGGGTAAATCATGCATATCTTTTTAAAACACTTGAGAAATTTGGTTTTGGTGAGGAATTTATTAATTGGATTAAAGTTTTTTATACGAATATATCTAGCTCTGTAAAATTTAATGGAAACCTTACTAAGTTTTTCAAGATTACGAATTCTATAAGGCAAGGGTGTCCGATAAGCGCTATGTTGTATGTTATTGCAGCTGAGCCTTTGGGTCAAATGATACTTCAGTGTAATGATATTTCTGGTATTAAAATTCCGCTTACTTCTGAGGAAATCAAGCTATTTCAACACGCGGATGATACGACTCTTACACTCTCCAATAAATATTCAGTCCGTAAAGTTTTTGATCTGTTGGAAGTATATAGTAATGGATCTGGGCAAAAATTAATAAGGAAAAATCATAATTGTTATATTGTGGAACTGGTTCCTTTTCTGAAAACGAAATGAATGAGTTAGGGGTAAAATTGTGCAAAGAAGTTATATGTGTTCTTGGTGTGTATATAGGTGAAAACGACAAAGTATGTAATGAATTAAATTGGAATGTAAAGGTAAAGTCAATGAAGTCTATATTGAATATGTGGTTACAAAGAAAGTTAACCATGCAAGGCAGAGCAACTGTTGTTGAAAGTTTGTTACTGTCAAGGTGTTGGTATACATTGATGTCCCAGACTATACCTGATGATACTATTAATGAAGTTAAAAATATGTGTGTTAAGTTTTTATGGATGGTGCTCATCTGATTAAATATGACACGGTAATTGGTAAAAAACAAGATGGTGGCTTAAATATGCCTGATATTATCTTAAAGCGCCAATCATTTCGGTTGAAGTTTTTAATGAGATGGCTTGATTCGGAATGTAAGGCGATATGGAAGAGTACATGTTTGTATTTTTTCAATTCTATAGAAGGAATGAATTTGGGCTTTGGAACCATATATTGTGATTTTAGGGATAAGCAATTGAAAAGCTTACCTTGTGTATATCGAGAAATGTTGATGGCGTGGTCAGAATTTCGAAAATGCTATCATGTTAAATTTGATAATAATCGCCCATCATTTGTTTATGAGCAGCCATTGTTCTTTAATCCTAATATTACAAATGGTGAAAAAACGGTATTTTCTCCTGCATTTGCTAAGGCTGGAATAACTAAAGTCAAAGATTTGACATATGAAGTCTTGCCTAATTTTCTTCCCTTCCGCGCAATTGTAGATATTATTCATGAAATTGATCCTGACATATCAACCCGTGTAATCTTATCAAATTATAATCTCGTTATGAAAGCTATTTCGCGAGAGTATAAAGTTATTGTTTTATCTAATGTTTATACACCTGCTAGGGCGCAAAGTGCTATCGGAGCCTTTGTTGAAATACCAACTAAAACTGGTGGTAGACGTAAAATTGTTCCTATAAATACTCGAGACTTTTATAACCTTTTTATTAAATCGAAATTTAAGTGTCCAACATCAACAGAATTTTGGTCAGAATTTTGCCCCAATGTGGCGTTAAAAGACGTTTTTTTCAATTATGTATATGCCATGCTTCCCACCAGATTGTATAGAACTGCATTTCAAAGTTGCCCATAATTCTATTTTTTCAATGGATAAATTATTGAAAATTGGTAAAGTTACAAGTGATGTTTGTCCTGTGTGTAATGTAGATACTGAAACGCTTCAGCATTTATTTCTTAACTGTCGAGACCTTGGTGAATTATTTATTTTTCTTGAAGGAGTTCTTGTTAAATTATTATCTTGTGCTGATCCGTCAGATACCAGAGATATATCAGTTAACACAGTTTTATTGTTAGGATTTACTAGAAAAATTAAAAAATGTAATTGTTATTTCATTAATTTCTTTTTCGGCATTGTTCGGTTTTGCATATTTAAAAGGCGGAATTTATACAATAATAATCTGCGCAATGTTGATATTTTAAAGTTTGTAAAATATACTATTACAAGATATTTTGAGTATGCAAAATTTTACTATCAGCGTAAAGATCGTAGAAAGCTACTTATGAAATATTTCCTTTCGGATAATCCCTCAATCAAAGGTGATCAAAGCTTTATTTACATTGTATCAGATTTATCACGTTTTTTACTCCGTATTTAGTATAATGTGTCATTGGTGAATGTTATGCAATATGTGGTTTGTGTATGTTTTACTGTAATGTAAATGTTTAGCGTGTGTATGTAATTAGTGAAGTTGATTTTAATAAAAGATAAAAAAAAAAAAAAAAAGCGTCGGACTAGTAAGCCAGCGGTCCCGGGTTCGAATCCTAGCAGAAACAATTAATTAGATAATGACACGACTGTTATTACATGTACAATTAAACACATTTTAGTTGTTGATTATGGTGTACCTATTAAGTCGTCTCTTACTTAACAGACCTTTTGCTGTGGTGAATCACCGTAAGTAAGGGCACTTACCTCTATCGTGAAAGCCTTCAGCTTTATTCCCTTGACTTTTCTCACTCTAAAAGCAGTAAACAAATATGTCATTAATGATTTAGGAAGATTTATTTTCACTTGATCGTGATAAGACATTTGATCTAAGCTATAATGAGGTATATTAGATAATACGAATTTTAATCTAATATTCATTTAAAATACTGATTTCTTATCTATGTTCTGAAAAGAGCGTATAACTGATTCCGTTTACAATCATATGACTGAATCATCAGAATGACCTTGACTCCATTCAAATGTCGGGCCAGGAGAGGGTTTGGAGGAGGGAGATTAACGTTGGATATCAATATAATAGAAATATCGTCATTGATCATGCAATTGAAAGGTCAAGATTATGTTGAATATCAGATAATAAAAGTGAAAAAGGCCTCAATTCGATAATCAAAAAGATGTCTGGAATATGTAACAATAATAATCTTACATAATATTTAATGTGGCTTTCCGAAAGAGGTCAATGTTGGATTCTGCCTTTAACCTCCAATTTGGGTCCGGAACGAGCTCCACGAGACTTCCATCATCAAAGAAATAATTCACATCCGATTCTTCAATTTGAATGTATATTTTGATCTCTTTAACATCTGAAGACGGAGAAAAATCAATAGCAGCTGTGCACGAATAATTGAGAAAATATGGCACTTGATGTAAATTGACAAAAAAAAAACCATTGATTTATCTCCCTTGTAAGAAACACGATATTCTTACTTTGAGACGTTTTCAATCTTTCACTACATCATACGTCTTTCCGGTAAATAATTTAGTTCCTTATGAGATATGTGTTTCGATGTGATCGGCGTTTGTTTGTAAGTATGCTTGTTAGTTGTCATGAAGCTAGATATTACTTGATGACGTAACATTACTTACTTAGATTGACAATTATTAACATGACGGTTGTTGTCCGTATAAATCTTTCTTTTGCTCATATTATCATTTTTCAGTTTGACTTTTCAATGTGGGTATTTACTAGTTGTTTCTCTATCCTACATGTATACAACCACGTCCTTATTATCTATAAATGTTTAACCACCCGAACATCTCTCCACCTACAGGCGATGACCACATGTTTATTTTCTGAGAGTTTTAGGTCCATGTCCCCTCCTTGCCTACGAGGTTCGAACGGACTAGTGTATTTCGGGAGTTAAAAGTTCCCGCAAACTTCCCACTCTACGAAACACCATTAATTGCTGATTTCAGGGGGTTTGAAGTCCCTGCTCATCTTCCACTCTTCGAGAGACGAACACTTAGTTACGTCCTGGAGTTTTGAAATCAAGCATCTGAGTACCTATCATCTTTCTGTAGGAGAGTCATACCCGTACTTACTTTCCGGGAGTTTGAAGTCCCCGCCCACTTCTTGCCAGGATCCTGGTCGAAGACGAGGATGTATGGCTATGTTGGTGTAACTTTTACTACCTGTCAATAATTCAAATTATCTTCAAATTAAACATCTTTATGATATCTAATCAAACCGATGAAGAATTGATTTACGTTAATTATCAATGACCAGAACACTTCCTAAGAAAAAAATTCTTAACACTCAGAGAATTTCTGTTTAGAAAAGAATTTTCTTGACAATAATGAAAATAATATAATTGCTTTGATGTTATAGAACACATTCATATGATATTAAATCCGTGTGATAATTATTAGTCCTCTAGAACAAACCATGTGATGGACGGCCAGTGAAAGAATATTTAGAACAACTTAGACTAAGAACCAGCAAGTATAGGAACTGGAAGTGATGACAGTGTATATAGATCGTCACCTAGGAATGGGAAAAGATTGAGTACTAAGGGAAATACCATACCAGCCTGTAGCTGACTAATAATTAAATATTTATCGACATTTCGCATTATGATTATTTTGTACGACAGTGACCGGTCGTAACTTGTATTTTCTGTAAATACGCCATTTCTCTGAACGGTTCATGAATGTAATTTCAAATATGCAAAGACACATCAAAATGTTACACAAAGTTGATAAAAACATTTTCGGGACGAAATGGCTATTTAATCTGATTCCCCGATAAGTGTAAATAAATCTTATTTGAAAGTTTTATGAACTTTGATGGTTTATCAGTTGATATGATCTCACCGAGATCTTCAGTCAAAAGTTCACGTACCGTCAAGTGTTTCTACCCGTAACTTCACAAATACATCATGATACAAGAAGCCAGCCGCAAGGTTCTCCAACTTAATATATCCGACAAAAGCATACAGTTTACCGGAAGTGACGTCAGGTGGCGAGATTAGGTAGCCGAGTCCGGCCCAACTAGCTGATCTTAAAATAAAATAAAAAAGACGAAAAATATCGTAATGATTTCATTGACAAATATTATACTTGTTAGCACGATAAGGGCGTGTTTGATCTCATTAGTAACATTGACGTGACATTTACTTACTTGCATTGACTAAACTTTACATGGTGAATATGTAGGTAAAGTCTTTGTCGATATAAAAGAATAAAACAGTTTGGTTTTTAAACATGTTTTAATCCACATCCGAGCACGAGTATTCATTTTATTTGATACTTTCCAATTGTATATATTTTCAGTAAAATTATCACACTTAGAACGATGTAGACTGCTTAAAATAGGGAAATAAACAAAACATCGATATGTGTACCGTATTTGACATATAGTTTTACATAAATGTATACAGTAATCGCATTGAAAACACGAAGTTCATTTACTCTTACCAGTTAAATCAAATGATGACTAGCAAGATGTAGCTCACATTCACAGTGAAGTTCAAATGACACTGAATGATTGTAAATTTACTACGTCATGGATGTCCTAAAAGGACATTACAATAAAATATCTGATGTGAACTCTACAAATGAACCATTCAATGGATTTCCCTTAAAAACATTACAAAAAAAATATCCGAACTGCATGAACTCCACAAATTATCTATTCAATGGACGTCCCTTAAAACATTACAAAAACATCCGAAGTCCACAGATAAAACATTTTATTGATTTCCTTCAAGAACATTACAAAGCAAAACGAGAACTGTGATTTATCTGGATATAAATAAAAACCAACATCGTGTTTATTCAGGCCAGAGAATATATATATATCCTAGATCAACCTATATCATGACTAGTGTTGGCACCTGTTACAAAACATCATCAATATTCAATGCGAGACCTTTGTATCAGTTTGAATCATGTTTTGTTTTTTACTGACCAGTAACCTGTGAATATTTGCTGCATAAAAAACTACAAAATGAAAATGATAAAGAGTGACATTCTCCAAAACTTTATAGAGATTCAATACACATTTTTTAATCATACCTTTCAATGCGTTATTCTCTCCGAAAACAGCTTGCGTTGATACCATTCGATTAGGACAAAGAAATTTAATGAAATACAAAATTATTCCGTTTTTTCTCCTACATTGCTATTCCGACTCTAATTAAGATGCATTTACAAATAATGGTTATCTAGCACATCTTTTCATTGGATGATTTTCATGATGTAATCCCCGATGTACTGATGATTTCTTGTCCAAATATAGCGGTCATCTTTCCGATCAAGGCAAATTTTCGACATCGACATTTGAGAAATTTATAATAATATTATAATGATATGCGAAAATGTTTTATCGAACTGAGAAGTGAAGAAAATGATAATGGTAATCTTTGTGAAATATTTCAATCAACCTTTTCTCCACTTCAAGTGAGTTTGTCGGTAATTTCAGAATGAACACGATAACCGTTATAGAAGGTAATATTCTCCATTCAGGGATCCACTTCAATTAATGATACTTCAACTAAATGAAATCATATCCCTTGGTATTGTTTTCTACCTTCACGTGATAATTATATCAAGAATGATACATAAATCCCAATCACCATTTAAAAGAATCATACTGACAACTTGGGATTAGTTTCCCCTAACGATCTCTTGTCGATGCCTCTCCCTTATGTCTGTGGTTTTATCGATATCCTATAGTGAATAAATACCTTCTGGGAAAGACATGACGAAATTGGGTATGTACACAAGGATCAATATATACAACATTGTATACAGATAATCTACACACAGAAACACTTTTAATTTTTTTCAAATGCTTCGACCTACATCCTGACCCAAATCTATCGACAACATCTACATCATAAATTGAATTGGAGCTGAACGTGGATAATATGATTGTTTTTATGGATATACGTGAGATTAGATCATGGATTTTGTCGTTCGAACACTCGACTGTATCTCCTGTTAAAACCTAGATTCAGGATATCCAGTATATGCATAACAACAAACAGACTATCCTCTAATCAGCGAATACTGCTGACGAGTTATAAAGTTGATATCATTATATTTGCAGATCAGATTTTGACAACAACGCGCACTTTACGCAGTCTCGTTTAAACATTTTATTGCCGTTAAGCAAAAGGATGGGGCACAAGTTACAATAACATTGTTAACGCTCTTTCCTTTAGAAGAAAAACAATTGCATATGTACATTACAAGATGGCTCAAAAATTATATACATATTTTAATTAAGGGAAAGAGAGAGAGACAGGCTTAATCGAATTTCATGGCTAAATAAATACATAGTAGTTATGAGTGACACAATGTCATGTATCAGACATTCAAGTTGCCTGTTTTTTGTTTATTTATTTTTTCTGTCATAGTTTTTTATCATTTTTTTGTCCAAGTAACAAACGCTGGAGTAAACCGCCGAACCCTTATATTGATTAAAGTTTGTATATTTATAACATCTGAAGACTAGAATGAAGACGACGAATCATGTCACACTTAGAATTACCTTCCCGTGATGTGAACACTCTGCGCTCCTCCACGTTTCTCCGTCGTACTAATGGCCCAGGAACATCCCGATTTACTCCAGTAGGTACCTAGGGTAGCCGACTCAAAATCACTGTTCCCCAGTAAATTAGTCCCCGCGACAACCAATACACAAGTCTCCACCAGGAGCAGGTGAACAATTAGAGACGCCATCATTCTATCTCTATTGTAATTAAACATGTATATTTCCTTTTATTTGACCTCAACATTCCTACGGCTAGGATCTGTTGTTTGATTGGTCAACATTTAGTATGGTAAGTTATCGCCCGAAGAGGTCGTTCTGGCTAACTTTGGGCCTTAACGTGATGTGTATACACTGAACAAATTAATTGAATTCGATGTTTCTCTCGAGGGTAAATGTTTAATTACCTGATATACCATAAAGGCGTCGTCATACAAAATCAGCTATTAAATATAATACCAGGATAGATGTTCTTTGTGATGCAATGTTGTAAAACTGAGAAACCTCACTTGAGTATAATGTCACTTGTAAATGAAGTTGAACAAAAGATGAAACCGACCAGTTATCAAAATCTTTATCTGAAATTTAAGTCGATAAAATGAAGATTTACATGGACACCAATGAAAAACAAAGTACAAAGAAAATAAGACCATATATTCTGGATGAGTAAGCGTCTTCTGCTTCATCGACGACTCCCGTCATATAAATATTGGTCAACCCAAGAACGCTATTCAGTTCTCAAAGGATAACAACGAAACCATTAGTAATTATACTAACGAGCATCGCAGTCCTCTACTTAAGTACCACACAAGGAAATCATGGCGTGGACGATAAAGTTTTTCAATCGTAAGAACCGTGTGTCGTTAGTTTACATGTCGGCATGGATATTGAGAACAAATCTGAAATATCGAATCAATTACAACATGTAAACATGAATATTGCTATCCAGAAATGGAAAATTCATAATAAAACCTAAATCATTCTGCTTATCATACAGCTTGGTGGAAATCTATCCCTGTAGCGATTTTGCAGTAGGACAAGATGGAGATATTATAGAAGTGTCTGTCGTTTCCTTAATTTCCAATTCGGATGGTACTTAATGTACTGATTAAAACATGGTTAACAAATATCTTGTTATTTAGAGACGAGGCACCATTAACAATGATTTCAGGAAATATGGAGGGTATTTACTGATTAAAAGAATATTCCTCAATATTTATGTTGAATTTGATTCGTACCGCTCATTATCCATATTTCCTGAAGATTGTGAAAATAACCCAGCTGTTTGTATCTAAAGATAACATGAATTTATCGGTACATGCAGTACATCACAGACAGTTAGATGAGACGTACGAAACTGTGACATCCCGACAATAACATCTTACTTACACTAAGAGTAAGAGGTATAAATGTATATGATATCAGTGACACATAATATATCAAAAAATGTGTAAAGATGACTTAGAATCACACGGTTGTGTCAGCATCATTATTACCATTTCAAATTCTTTCGTCTTGTGGCATTAGATCGTTATACCAATTCCGATCTGATTGTCATTTATTGCATTATTAGTTAAGAGAAGTATTTATATGTGCATTCCACATCTATACATTTTAATCTAAATGACATAACACAAACATGTTTATACATTCGTAGCTGAAACATAAACACAAAACACATTGAGATTACATCATCTGTAAACACATCATGTTCTCTACGTGGTGTATTTTTCTTATTGTGGAATTAGATAAGAATTTTATTCCTTTCAAGCATAAGTATAAATCTTATATTCACTAATACGATATAGAAAAAGTGTTTTTGATGGTTATACAACAACAAGTCCATTATAACGACAAAGACGATAATGATCAGAAATATGAATACATTCTAGATATGACCAGTCCTGGGGTACATTCCTCCGGGTGCTAACATCACAAAACACCAATCAGCCCTGACAAACACATCATAGGTTTACTGGCAATAAGTATTCGATTTTGCGCACTTCCGACTTTGCGACGAAAAGAATACTATTTAAAGACATGCAGCCTGGCAGGTTCTAGTTGATATAGAGATTGATTACGAAGAATGTTGGTGACAATATTGATCATTACTTTTAGAGTTGATCTCTTAACTGTCTCCTGTACACTGACCTATTGGCTTCAAGAAATGGAGATCTGGAGGACAACCCTATTACCTTCTGGATATCCCTCGGAAGTACAATGGATTCAAGTACTGTTCATGTGCACAGCGGAGCACCTACATCAGCAAGAGGTTAGTGATATCTACTCTGGTAATTTAGATAAAAATATTTGAATCATCATAATTATCGATAGTAAATGCAGCTCTAACAGGTAAAGATAATTTCAAAAGTCATTGAAAAAGTAAATGAAATAATACTTATTTTTGATAAAACCTGCTTTGATTATATTGATCCAAAATGGCATGAAATTAAATGTTTATTGATGGTCGTTTCCATCAATAATTGTAGAATGAGCAGTATTGCATAATTACAGGATAGAGGTATCAAAAATCTGAAAAAAGCTCGAACATCATAAAAATCTGGAAATATAACAACATGCTCCGAAAAGTGTACAAAAGACACACAAGTGAAAGGCACATTTCAACACACATTTTTATACAGTAAAGTCTGATGTATCAAACTTCATCTTACAGCTGTTCGCCCTTCTAAGACTCGTCAGTGATGTTAGGGCCTTAAATTTGAAAGTTTTGGGGCAAATGAGGAAAATCCAAAATGATGGGAAGAATGTCAAAGTATAGATCGGGGTGTGCACTAGCATCATAATTAAAGAATTTTGCAATTTTCATACAGCCGATAAGAATGGCAGATGCATATGTATGAATTAATTAATATGCTGGTGATGGCAATTCGTGGGGACTACAACTCGTGGAGGAATAGATTTTCTTATTTTTTTCTTACCTTTGATTAATAAATTAATCCAACGTATGTATACATCTTTATCAATTAATGTAAGCTTACATAGAGTGCTTTATGACATTTTGATGACATTTCTTTTTTGAATTTTTGTCGTCTGTAAGGTAAATTCTGTTGAGCATAACTATGAAAGTTTTGAGTGATTTCAACAAAATTCTATAAAGCATAATATATAAATGCACAATCCATTTGAAAAAAACGCGCTGACAACTTAGGATAAGTAAATTGTCGAAGCCACTTTACGATGTTAGTTTATCAAACTCATTAACTGAAGAAACACACTGTCATTCAGAGACAGACAGACGAATTTCTACACTAGGGAACAATATACACAACAATGTAGATAGATAATCCACACAGAAAGGTATTTCAAGCCTTTTCATATGCCTCAGTCATGACCCGACTCTTGAGCTGAAAGTGAGTAGGTTCACTTTTAGATTAAATAATTTTAGAAGTGGTATAGTATGCTGCTTGTTATTATTGAAGCGAAAATGAATCATGAAATAATTTCCAGCATATACTTAAAAAATAACCCATTATTATACCCACGACAATGCCATGTATTTAGACTAGGTCTGGTGCTGAAATATTTAAATAATGCTAAGCATGAACATTTTTCATTCACAGCTAATGTAAATTCCTAGACGTAAGAATTAACTGTAAGAAGTATTTGTATAGAACATCTACGTAATCTGCTTCTAAATCTGTATTGGTGTGTTTTATGGGCATTGTATCATTTATACAATTTATAGTTTCCTGAAATTAAAGAGAATAGTATGAAGGAATTAAATGGAAAGGAAATCCATTTATTTTAATTTCCTGCCATTTTCTAACTTTTCCTACTCATATTTCACTTTCCTCTTCATCCATTGAACTCAACTTTTCCATTATAAACTCTTAATAGGCTAGTCTTGAAGTTATACATTTCTTCCATTTCACTCGAACAAACGCGCATACATCACATAATACTCACAAGAGGTTAATGCAGTATGAATAGATAGATACAATTAATGGAATGGTAATTGTAAAACGAAACATCATTAAATTGTGGGCGTCGTCACCTTTTTATCATGTTATATTTATATATTTTATAAGTCTAATGTGTCTAGATTTATTCCGACAGTCAAACGACGATACTTGTATTAAAATATTCATTTTCAACAACAGATTTCCGCCTCATGTAACTGATTCAATCCAAACTTTTATCAGTAATGATACTGATCATTATCTTCGTCGACACCTTAGACTCATTGACGTACCCCTAGCAAGACCTCGTCTATATGAAACCAGATTTCCCCCAAATCATCATGTCTGAATTGAATAATCCATCTTGTCAGTTTTCCCGCAATGACATTCTTTAATGATATAAGAACTATATTTGACACAGTTAATGATGTTCATTAACATTACACTGACATTAATTAACGATAATTCTATGCCAACTGAGAGACTGTGCTAGTAATCTGAATTAGGATTTATTAACTTCTCACCTCATCTGTTGCCCTGCCTGTGGTCATCCTGTATAGAGTTGCACTCACTTCCTCCCCTATTATCCTCTTTTCACTTTTCAAACACAACTCCTCCTTTACTCCCTCTCTACTCTAAATGATTCTTTATCTTCATACTACAACATTTCATAAAGGTCCTTATATATTTGATGCAGATATGAAAACAACAGTTTTTATATTAATGCAGGGGTTCATTACCGATACCGTAGGTATCTTTTAAATTCATCTCATTTTTAATTCATTCAATTTGTCTCGGAATTGAGTCTTCTTGTTAACTTAATGTACCAGAACCAGGATTATGAAAATATATTGACATTTTAAGTATGTGTTTCGCTCCACTTAAGGGGAAATTTGAATTTCTTCTTGACACAATTATAAAATATTTGTTTTACTCAATAATGATCACTAATGCTAATGTTTTCTTTTCATTCACCTCTTTATCTTAAACTATATACTAGATTCTAATGTTCGTGGCTCAGTATTCTGAAATGATATATTATAAATTGATTATTTGATTGATATGTCTGTATTCTTGTTGGTGTTTAATTATATAGAGGGTTTTTTTTATAGGATATTCTATTGCCCAATTCCTTTTGTCATCAAGGTAGTGACAATAAAATATTCTGAAATAAAAGTATATTTCAAAATATTGATCAGTTTGATATTTTATTAAAATACATTAAAATACAAACGAAAAATAAATGAATGTAAATTATACCTGCGTGTCTG